TATCCCCCAGTGTTTGCACGAGGCTAGCCTAGTCAGGCTTGGGCTATTCTAGAAGCTAGCCGGGCTATACCACCAGCTGCAGTCGGGCTTCGGGGACTCATCAGGCTGGGCCCGGCTGGAGTGCAGATATCTACAGGCTTGTTGAGTTTAGTGCTTATCCGTCAAACAGACTAGTTTCCTTTTTAGTTAGTTTCTCCTAGTACTTTCCTCACCACTCTCTTCAACGTTAGTTACTGTTTCAGTTTTTTTTTTTTTTCATTTCTTCCCTATTCGTTTCACAACCGTACAACCATGCCATATTCAACTATGGTATTCCGAGGTTCTCATATGTTTTTCTTCCTCACCGAGGTTTCGTCAAATTCTTTCCTCCGAGGTCCTCATGTTACCGACCTCGGGCTTTTGTTATTTCTTCTCTTTCACTTGATAGTTTATCATAAAAGCCCACTGCTGCGCAGGTGGTAAGAAAATCAAGCTTCTTTTCTCGTCGGCAGTCATATCAATTCACAAGGCCTCCGAGTGCTTGAAGGTGATTGCCCCTATTCGGTAGGGTTTAGGGTTCCAATAGCATGGATTAAACGGAACTATTGCATATTTCTACAGACTCCGCATGTACATTACTGGAATTGGTGATATCTCCTGATATCTCAACAATAATTTCTAATCGGTTTGAATTGTATATTATTTTCTGGAGTTGGAGCTTCCACCAACACACCATCCCAGCCTATACTGAACAGGTTTCAAACTAGCTAGTCAGTTTTGAAGGACTCTGGGGTGCAAATATGAGTATAGAACCGGAGTCTAAGCTTATTTTCTCGCTTAAATAGTTGTATTCAACCGGAGCATCAGGGTAATGGGAAAGAAATAATTCTGGTCACAAAATGGTTAGGATGAAGGTTTCCGGGAGAACTCAAGCTTCATGATGATGCTGAAGCGGCAGAAGAAACAGATTCGGTAATCAAAAAAACAACTGCCAACAGGCAAGCTACATATCTACCATACAATTTAGGAACATACCCAGGGATATGAAATTTCCTCCCACGATATTGCATCATAACGGAGGAAACCCGCTAATATCTATAGATGTCTGTAGGTATATATCATCATACACCCGTGGGTATCTTCAGGTATCTGGGGCTATCATCGTATATCTGCGGGTTCCTTCAGGCATCTGCGGATACCTTGAGATATCTGTGGGCACCCTCAGGCATCTGCGGACATCTGCGGGTATCTTCAGTTATCTGCTACGCATTGACAAAATAGTTACTAACCGCACGACACACACACCGAAAGCCTGCCAGGACCGCCAGACACCCACAATATTTGCAGGCTTTGCGAATGCTCGGCTTACGAAGCCCAGGTCAGTGAAACTGACCTGGCCTAGCAGGAGTGTGTATCTGTAGGCTATCTACGGGCCGGCCCGGCCGCTTGCGAACACTGATATCCCCTAACCTCATCACCTGGGGTGGGGCACAAGGGAGTGACTTCATGGCCACGCACCGGACATGGCAAGGTTATACAGAGCTATGTCGAAGATACAATGGAGCGACGTGCCCTCCTGGAGGTCAAAAAACAGGAAATATCATACCACCCAGCTGACAATCACTAATAGAATGAGATACTGCAGACCCGCTGCAAGTCTTTCGCTACGCCAGTACAAAAAGAGACCCCAGATCTCAACTGAGATGCAAGAGAAATTTTTACAGAAGCGGAAAAAAAAACCATCTTATGTCTTTAAATACACAATTAACCCCCGGCATCTCAGAGGAGAATGCCTTGGATCCAACCATACCTCACCTCTATAGCTTCTTTCTCCTTCTCCACATAATACCCCTCAGAGGTTACCAAAGCTTTGCCGAATCATCTTTTAGAGCCTGTTTGGATTCGACCGTTTCCTTCGGTTATAGAGATGCCAAGACAACCGCTTCTCCAGATGAAATCATCACCGAACGGAATGACCCGCCTACCGTTCCCGCCAAATAAACCCTAAGCCTTTTACCACTCCGCAAGCTCAAAGGGTCCCTCGCCCAAAACCTTCTTGCCACAATAAAATCTAATGTTTTAGAGCTTTCAGCGACACAAACTCCAATGCCAATATGCATTTTTACCGGGGATCAGATTTCAAAGCACAATATACAGTTTTCATGTATTATATGCAGCACGGTAACGGACGGCATTACTCAAACACCAATGCACAGGAGTTTGCAAAACCCTCTCTGACCGGTCCAGGAGATTACATGAATTCTTGATACTGGACCCAACACCCTACAGAGTTCCGAGAAAGAGAAAAAAATTGTGGTGGGCCAAGAGAGAATAGGGCATGGTGAGGGATCCTCCAACCCCCTCGCAAACTGCTATTGGGCACTGTGGGAATCCCAATCGCTCTTGACAAGCCGAGGTCAGATATCAAATAAACTCGAAATTCCCAACGAGCAGGGTCAGGATATTAAGCATTTGAGCCAGAGAAGCAGGGATTCCAACAGCAGATTCAGAACCCCATTCAGAGAAGCAACTCATGCGGCATATTTAAAGGAACCATCCGAGTGTACCAGAGGGGTATACCGGCATAAGGTAAACCCTGATCTTCAAAATCGTGCGGAATGCAGGCGATCTACATCTTAGACAATGCGGGAGGGGTTTGGCTAGTCTTTCGGGTGTATATGGTATTCGATGAAAGGAGGCCACCCCCACAGTTAAATGACCCCTCCGCTATATTAATTCTCCTCCATGACCAAGAACAAGAGGTGCCAACAGCCCCCCCATCCTCGCCTTCACACTTACACCCGGAGGTCAGCGACATATTGCTATGATCTTCATCAAAACATGTTCAGAGTGGAAACCAATCACGGCTGTTGCAGTTCACAGCTAACTCACCTCACCCACATTTCAGGAGTGTAATAACTCTCTGCACTCTATATCATCTTCCCTAACTACAACCCTCGCCTCCGCACGTCAGAGGTGAGGGAAAGGGGGAAAGTAGAATACCGGTGGTGGAAAAAAAGAGCGTTTTAAAGGGGAAATTTCAACCAGCGAACAAAACAAAAATGCAGAAAACTTCAAGCAAAAGCAGCTCATCCCAGTACGATAAAATAAAAACAGTATGTACCCGACCAACTCCGAACCCTATATTATCAGGAGAAACTGACAATTCCCGACTCAGCCATACAGGAAAATCTCCTATAGATGTTTAGGCTAGCACACGATACCTCATGCGGCTCCCCATAGCTTACGATTTCCCTCGACCAAGACAAGATATTTAAGTCGAGTTTCAATGGCAGCCACAGCCATAAGAAACCGAAAGACGGAAATTACCAGCAGGTGGCGAGAGGAGGCTAGAGGAGGTCGGTCGGTGATGAGAGGTGAGAGACAATGGCAGTAAGAGGCATGTTTATGAAGTCTTGTGGCCCTCACTGGAACGGCAGTTGGGTGATCCGTACTCGAAGGCGGTAGGAATTGGATGTCCCCTCGGCCCTGGGCCGTGCTGGTCTTATCCGCCGTTATCTTTGTCCGAATAGCACTATGTTTTCACCGCCCCCTTCGTTCCCATTCCAAGAAGAACAGTAAGGCGTTTGGCCATACTCATCTAGTTTGCCAGGTTCCACGTCGCCTGTTCAAGCAGCTCCCTCATGCTCACTTCAAGCACCCCACACGAGAGCTGTGCTCCCCATGCAATCTTATCCATCGATACCACAACCCCCCATCCCTACCCCGCCAACTACAACCTCAACAATCCTGATAACGGGTGCACATTGCAGACCACTAAACAGAGGAATGTTCACCAAAACTCAGAGCGAGCATCTGAATTTTCCGTGCTTCCGAGGGGATTTTAGAGGATATTTCGGAGGTGTAGTCACTTGTCAAATATGTTCATCTCAAGAGATCAAGCGGAATTCGAATGACAGCCTTCTTGCCCCGCATCCCCAAATACAGAGACTCCCCGGAGACAGGGATAGTGTCATGAATGGAGAGAACCTCGACATACCCGGAATCGACTCTTCCCTCAGCGGTTTTTATGCCAGTCACCTTCTCTCACTCGCAGTAAGGAGACTATCGAAAGTTCTACTTGAATATTATGGAAAGTGTTGGCGTTTTCACACACCTATTTAGTACACAGCCTGGGGTATCATACATAATATGGGTAATGACAATAGTTATGCCGATGCATACAAACGCGGCTCACTGGTACAAATAGGCTCGATTCCTGTATCAAGACGCACGGGGCAAAGTCTCTCGATCCAGTTTCCATCCACACACTTTCCACGTATCCCAAAGTCATATTCCTTTCTCCGATACAGGCTCTTTCTATATGACCGCTGATATGGAACAGTCGCTCACGCAGTGTGCAATACGAAATAATACAGTGCAGGAGGGATAACAACTCCCAGGATCGGCACAAAAAAAACTTCGTCACACCTCAATGGAAGAAGTAAGAAGTGGAAGAGTTTGACAAAGTCGTATCCAACATTTTACCAGCCCTCCGGAATGACCCTCCCCCACTCCCCACCCCTCTTCACATCATACCGCCAAAACCTCGTCGCGCAAGTCCTTCGCCCAACAACACTGTCCCGACCCAACATCCGCCGGTTACAAGGAGGCCGAATCGCCAGAGCTCTCGGTACGCACCGGCTATTCACGACACTGTAGGGGATGGCGGGCACCGCTCGAGCAGGAGGGAAACCGCAAACAGAACATTACTGGATGTTGGGCATGCTCAATTGATAGAGTATGATGCGATATGATGGGAAAAAAATAAAACAAAAAATGTCGGCACGGGATCTTTTCGATCGACTAACGTATGCATCTTCTGAAATTGACATATATGTCACATAGCTGTTGTGGTAGTCTTCTGATCTCACCTCACCAAAAAAGGAATTAACAGAATTGGTAAATGGGGGTTTTCTTTTTTTTAAAAAAAAAAAAAAAGTTCCTGTATCTCAGGTTGGATCTTTGTGTTATGGCAATCGCAGCGCGTTCATATCCGCGTAGGTGGCAGGGAGTGATGCCGAGTGAGTGAATTTTGGAGTGTGGAGACAAGAGCACCATTCATTAGTTCGTCCGTTCGTTGCATAATTCTCAGCAAGTGCCTACCCACGTGAGGGGTCCATAGCGAACGGCCTTCCGGACGGCCAAGCAATCAATCAATAGATCACTAATTCGTCCGATGCCATTTCTATGGCTTTACTCACTCTCCAGAACCTGAAAAATTGACTCGGGACTGTTGTTTCCTATTGCTCTATCGCTCCCTATCCCCCTCGCTCGAGAGTAGAGACTTCTCGCTACGAGAGCAATTACAGTAAGAGATATTATTAGTTATAGTAGCCAAGTCGAGCATAAGCAACAAAGATTCGACATCACATTATACATGCTTCCCCCCCCTTCCTCAGAATGGAAGCCGATCCCGGGTACATACTGAAACAGTTTAGGGTACAAATTTGAACGGTTCTGAATCGGGTAACAGTAGAGAGGCAAGCAACAATTAGGGGAAAAGAAAAAAAAAAGAAAAGAAAAGATACAAAGATCAACTAAATGCCGAGTTCTATCGCGAAACAGAAACCGTCAGCGGTGCGTTTGGAATACGCAGCGAGTAAGGGGGAGCTAGAGCAGATGGTGTGTTATTCCGTGGTCAAGATGAAAGCAGAGGTATGGATTGGTTAGGTACCTGATCCTTCAGATTCCCCATAGCTAGAAGGCTTGACCTCCCTTTTTGGATGGTTTACTTCCCCGTCCACAACAGTATCGATGTCGGTATCCGAATTCAAATCATCCTCCGTGTCCTCCCCATCCCCCTCACTCTCATCTTCGCCCTCGCTCTATCCTCCCTCTTCACTGTCCTCGCTCTCATCTTCACCCTCACTGCTGCCCTCATCCCATCCCCGGTTGTCTGCCTCATGCTTACGGGCGTTCATGATTGAAGCCACACTATAGGAGCCAGGGCAGTAAACAACCTTGGTCGGCCCGTGTCCTTTATATCCAGCTTTAATAGCTCTGATCTCGTTTTCCGGATCGTCGTTGGTAGCCGGCTCATTGTAGTAGTCACTTTTCCATTCCCCAACAATCAGAAAAATAAAAAGCAATAATCGAGCCTGGGGGGGGGGATGAAAATACATGGCATCCTTGTGATTCTCACTTAGAGGAATTGGATAATCCCACCACTCCTCCTCGAGCCGTCCACTCCTATGGAGTTCCAGGATGTCATCGCAAACAGCACCTTGCCAGACCCCCACGGGTAGAAGGAGTATATGAAATCTCGTGCTCCCAGGTTCTAGAGAAAAAATTTAAAAAAAATTCTCAGATCAGTCACCGCATGTCATAGCAGAATAGCACACATAAGGCTTACTTACCGACGGGGTGAGAAACCTTCTTGCAGCGAACTATTTTCTTCCAACTACTGTCCCTCCACATTTCCACCTGCCATCCAATGCCCGCCTCGCCGCATCCGATGCTCATTTTATATCCCCTAACCTCATTACCCGGGGCGGGGCCCAAGGGAGTGATTTCATGGTCGTGGGTTTTGCAGAAGAGTTTGGCAAGCTCACGGAGGATCTCAACAGCTCTCTGCTTTTCAGCAAGGCGATATTCGGCGATATAAACCGAAAGTGCGGACATTTTGTAAAAAGTAAAAAAAAAAAAGAGGAAAGGGGGGTGTTATTAGGTAGTAGAAGGGAGTAGTCCTTTTGCCGAGGGTGGAGAAGGAGGTGGGTGGAGTCGGTGGGGGAGAAGTCGAGGAAGGATATATATAAAGAAACCCGATGAGAAAGGCGAGAAGATGTTGGGATGAATTCAAAACCCTATGAGGAATGAGGGCCTAAGAGGTGACCGTAAAGCAAGCAAAACCCCAAGATCCAGAGACAGTCTGACATGAACGTAAAACAAAACAAAAAAAAAGATTTCTACGATATCTTATCTGTGAACATGGTGCAAGTTCCAGACATCCAGACATTCTAAAGCGGATGACGAGTAGCACTATTCAAAGCTTTTCAGAAATAGGCACGGAGGAGCAACATCCAACCCTTTCTCCGCTTACACGCCCTCATACCTTCTCACTCGATCCCACGTGACGAGCAAAAACGGTTTAGTAACTTACTCCTACTCACGATCGCCCACCACGGTATGAGCATGCATAGCGCCGTAAAATCGGACAGCAACCGTCACGCGCTACTGCCGGCAGCACAGAATGATATATTCGAATAAAGTCTTGGCCGCTACTTTACCTTAGCATCGTGATCAAGACACAATACAACCCACCATACCATCTCCAGGGCATTGAACCCTCCCAGCACGACCCCCCCCCCCCCCCCAAAAAAAAACGGACGCCAACACTATACCCCCAACAACTAATCTCCCGAAAGCTATAATAAATTATATCCTGCTCCACCATAATTTACAAAATCATAATTTATAATTTACATAAGAATATTATGTAATTGCCTACTGGCAAACTCTTTTCCCAGAGAATGCCTGTACAGTGTGCCATGAGCAGTTATGGGGGGTGAGATTTTTGCATTATTATTCTCAAACTCTTGAGGACCTGCAAGGAGAGAAGATTTTTCCACAAATTTTTGCAAGAACATATCATCTATTCACCATGCCTCACTATGAAGCTTATTATTCATTAAATTTTGGTACTGATACTATCAGTGGTACTAGCACTTCTATGGGAAGAATGGATATATAATACAAAATAGTATCAGTTTTTCCCTACCATATTGGCAAGCTTAAGGAAGGAATGGTACAAGTTAAGTTGAGAGTCTGTTGGGTATGCTAGGATTTGGACTTAAAAAATCTGGACTATCTCTTAAGTCTGAACATTCAGCCTGATCATTGTCAGCAGATTAGGATTTGGATCAGATTTCCATTCCAGGATTGGATCAGGATTTTGAATCAGGATTTTCTCTATATATTAAGAGGAAATTGGATTGCAGAAAGCAAAAGCCCAAAAGATATCAGCCTTAACTGCTTTCTCAGCACATGCCTCAGGCTAGATCTTATCCTTATTATCATACATCACATACACAAATTTTTCAGTCCTAATTTAAATACTATTGGGTTTGACATAGCTAGTTTACAAGGTCCAATTCTAGTAGACCTTGTCTGATCCTATCATGCCTAGCAGGTGCTAAGAGATTACAAAAAATGCACTATCTTCTTAGCCTAGCTGCAACTATTGATCTCACTACTATATGGGAATCTGAGCAGTAGAATATAAGTTAGATGGTGGTACAACAAGTTTGTCCAACAGTACTACACTGAATACTACTAGCAGCCTGAGTGGATATATTTTCCCTGAGCTGTATCAACAACTTCTTATACTCTACTTCCCCAAGCCTTGATGCTTCTTCCATCATACAATAATTATACCATAGTGTTACTCCTAAGGTAATTGAAATTCAGGATCCCTCAAGAGATAGCAATTTATATCCTCAGGATCCTGTCATACTGAGGACACTACCTGGGTAGGGACGACAGTCGCCTATAGGATGGGATACCGGACTTCAATGTACCTGTACACCCCAACATAAACTGTACAGTACCACCCGAAAGCTCCAGATACTACCTGAGAGAAACAAAAAAAACATAAATTCTGCTCATTGACCCACTCACTCAATAATCTAGCACATACTCGATATTCAATTTTCCCAGCTCCAGGTTGGAAAAATAAAAAAATAAAAAATAAAAGTCCGGGATTCTAGTGATTGGCAAGGTGGCCCCCAGATTATGCTGGGTATGTATGATATGATAGATCTTATCATGCCCACCACCAGGAAAACAGCGGCCGCTCCTCGATCAGTACGCATCCTGCTCGTTCCTGAATCTCAAAATTCCGGGATCCTTTCCTGAGTGGCCTGGGATTGGCCTGAGAAGTACCATCCCGTTCCTAGAGAGTGAGGGGTGGAAATTAACGTGCGTTATCAAACTAAGTGTGCATGATACCCCCCGTGTTCATGGAGTAAACGTTCCACCATACCGAAAGGTCTCTCCCGGAAGCTTGATTTTACTTGGGATTTTATGGAGAACGCGTATGCTGCTCCCCCGGCTGTTAAATCATGTTCCACATCTCGTTCAGCTCCAACTAAAGTTTGATTCGACTTTTATTCGATTAATTGGAGGGGTATGAATGCGATGTCTGAGATCACGCGAAGGCATCTGTGCCCTTCAATGCAATATATCTAGATTCGCTACGAATGAGATCATCAACGGAGAGGCTCGGATTCTAGAGATGTGCAATGTACTATCATAGTATGATACCATTCCCTCATGTCCTAGCACCGCAGTAACCCCCGCTAACGAAGACGCACGCGTCATTCGGAAAAAGTTTCTAAACTCACGGGTTCCACAACACTGGACCCGGAAGGGAGTAAGGATAGACCACACTCAGCAGGACAACCACCCGTGCTCAGAATCTCGTCACAGGGTATAAAATCGGAGGGCAGCCATTCGCTACTCCACGCCAACTGACCCCAACTGAGTAGTTATATTCTCCCACACTTTCCCAAAAGAGACGAGCGAGAGCAATATATTAAGTCCCACTAACCCAAGAGTAGACCCTGGTTCATCAGTCATCGACATGCCCCATTCCAACGCCCCACATGCTTACTGTGCCAGCCTACATGCCTGCCCACCCCATCACAGGCCTGCAGGCCCAAGCTTAGGCATAGAGACAAGAAGCATTGTCGAGTGAGAGGGTCCACGTTTCCACCACGACGTAAGGAGTCTGCCGAATCCAAGTGGTGGGTTATCGCCGTGTTCGTCCCGATCCTAACGCATCAGAACTGATGCCCGGTCAACAATTATGCTATGGCATCGAGCCCAGGAGATTAACCATCTTAGCCAAACGGCGGACTAGGCAAGTACGAGGGTGGAGAAAAGGCTAATATAAACTGGTCCAAGCGGTAGCGCGCGGCCGGGTTGAAATCGGATAACTTTATTGGAATTGCGAGTTTATGGGGTGGCTGGCGCGCCAAATGGGTCCTAGGGCTTCAACTTCAACCCGGTAGTGGGGGTTCAATACAGTACAGTACAGTGCCGGTACAAGTACAAGAAGCTTCAAGTCCTGGAGGGCGAGCGTGTAAATGTGCTCGAAAGGGATACAAGTGGAGAAACCAAGGTTGTAAACCGAGCTGCCACCGTTAGAGCCTTTCGGTTGCGGTGAGACGAAGGGCCAATCGAAAAATTGGCTGTGAGGGGGTTTACCCGGTCACCCTCTGAGGATTCCTGTACAAGTAAGCGATCAACCTGATCTGCCCGACGGTCGAGCCTAGATGCCACAAGATCATTTCGCAAAAAAAGTCGGATTGGGGCTTGCTTGAAGCATGGTGATTTGATGGTCTACCTGAGCTCTCGCTTGACCGGTTGCCCTTAATTCCAAGCAAGCTTCTTACGAAATTTTACGGCATCCAGGCCATTTAACAGGCTTCATGCATATTCATATCCACTACTCCAAGTTGAGAAAGGCGTGGTACGGTTTGCTGGAAGCCTGGGGATCGCGATCCCCCAATATGAGTCTCCCAACCCTCTACAACATAATGCCCGTGCCAACCCTAGGTAGACTAGGAGCCCGGTTATTCGTGTCCCTGCAATCCGTTCGTCCGCAAGCATGCACAGCCACTCGAGATTACATGTACTCGTACAGTGCTCGAGTGCCGGCTAATTGGCCATTCTAAAAGTATCCCAAATCTTGGCGCCTCTTAAACCCCAGCCGCGCCAAGATTTCGGGGAGTACGGTACAGTACTTGTACGAGTACATGTACTCGTACTCTAGTTGTGCCGGCACTTGTGAAAGAAGCAAGGACCTAAAGTTATTCTAGGAAACGGGGATTGTAAACTTCCATGGCTCCCGGTATTCAGCAGAAATACGGACGGGCTTTCCGCCACGTATTTTACGAGCCCCGTTTCCGGGTACGATACCGCACTCATATTCCTAGGAGCGAGCGACAATAGTGTACTAGCACTTGTACTCGTACCGGTATATTGGTACCTGAGTAATTTAACCCCGAGAGAAACAGGTCGGGAGTAGCTAATCAATTCACCAAGCGAAGCAAGGTGCGATACCGTCTGCACTTGCACTCGATGCAAGACGCTGAGGCAGGGCTACCGGTACCGTAAGCGAACGCCAGGACACGGGGATGGCGCCCCTCGTGTTCCCCATATTCTCCGAAAGGAAATGCCCTTTGAGATGTTCAAGATCGATCCCGTTTCGGTCCAGCGGTCGACCCCGACCTCAGGCGTGAGTGGAAATCGCGAACCATCCTGGAGGTAGGGGGTCTGTTTACCTGTTTGTTTGTTTCAGAGAATCCATCGCCATACCTCACGTAGCTCGATATCATGCGGGTGGGGGGGAAGATGGAGAGAAAGGCTACAGTAAAGGTCGAATGGATAGTTGGTCTCACCAGAAGTGAAATGGATGTGATAGATGATACTGATACTGTAGGACACTCGTGGATAGACTACAGCATGGTGCGGTGTTTCACAAGGTTTGGGTCTGCACAAGAGCCGCACGGACTCAGACAAGAAGGGCACGGCAGACCCGCTGGGTTCCCACCAAGAATAGCTAGCGAGCACTACTCCAACTCGTATCATACGGTAGGCCACTGCACCGTTCCCCCGTTCGAGCCACATCGTAAGGGTTATTCTTAGAATCCTGGCTTGAGGCTGGCGCCCTATCGGCATACTTAATAAGCTTTGACGCCAAGACCTTTTATCCGCATCAATACAAATGAAGGCTGTCTCCATTCCGGGATCGGTAGGGCTGAACCGGAAGGGGGAAACTGCTTCCCGCCCCCAACTGGTGCGAGTGTGTTAATATGGCACATCTGCCATCGTAAACGCCAATGTTCCTGAGAGAGAGCGCAGCATCGTACGGTACCATCATTTCAGTGGATTGGTTGATGCGCCGTTGGCAAAGCGAGAAGGGCTGCCGTCGACCCTTCCTTTTCCTCAGGCAATTGGGTACAATGGAGCGCACACCAGCAGGCTTGGCGAAAGTGGATGCTGTGCTCGGGTTCAGGTACGGCGCTTACTCGATGCTGCCCTCTTCAGCCAAAGGCGAGATTAGATCAACGTGGCTGGCTTTCCAAAGGCGAATGCTCGGCCCCCCATTGGTCCCTCCGACCCTTACTGCCCTTTACCCGTGGTGCCCCTCACACCCTGCCTCTCTCTTGGCGATAACCTTCTTTGCTGGCCAGCTGGACCGGAGACTGATGGAATGGAGGCTTCGGTACGGAGGGGGCCCAAACTCCCATGAGGCGGACGAAGGGACGAGGGAAGGCGGAGGAGATCCGTGGCTGCCTCGACCCGAGCCTTCTACTGGACGGAACTCGATCCTGATACAACTAAACGGGAGTCTTTCCAGTTGTTTGCTTCACCTTCCAAAACATCCTCACTAGCCTCCTCCCCTTTCTCGCCATGTGGGTGGGTGGGTGGCCATCACAAGGGGGGCTGATTCGAAGCTCTACCCGACATATTATACCATTTCGTGCCTTGGTGACTTACCACCGAGTTGGCATCTCACCCTACGGTAACTCACCATACTAAGGTTGGCATCATTTTAGGTGTGGGTGTCACACTCGTCCTGACTGCGTGCTGCGGCTGACACCAACCTTCCTTCACGCCCCCCTGCATTTTCTATTGATTCAAGCTGTTCTCCGCACTCTTATATATAACTTTGCCCACTGTCCCCACCGCCCTCACCCTCCATTCATTCCACCGCCCATTCAGCTCGCAAATCTTTCCCCCCCAAGCTCATTTATTCCCCCCTTCCTCTCCTTCACATCCGCACCACACTCGCTCCGACACAGACACACACAACAGACGGACACAACCTCGGGTGGGAAAACGTCAACATGAAGATCGCCATTTCCTTCGCCATCCTGGCGGCCGCCACGGTGCACGGCGCCGTCCACAATTCGACCGTGTCCGCCACCTCCGCCGCCGACAAGTTCCCCGTCATCGGGCAGATGGGATCCAGCATTGAGGGCGCTTCCGTCAACCACAAGGGAGAGCTCTTCGCCGTGAACAAGACGCACTTCCTCTCCCTCAAGACCGGAACCAGCGACCCCAGGAATCCCAGGCTCGTCGGTCCCGGCGACAAGACGAGCTACTTTGCCAGTTCACGCTTCACCCGCTCGCACCACGTCCTCATCGGCGATGCCCTCGGCCACTCCATCTGGCAGCAGGACTACAACGGGACGGTGAAGCGACGATGGCACGGGAGGTTCGCCAAGCGGGCCTACACCCCGTTCCTCATCAACGACAAGCTCCTCCAGCCCAACGACTTCACCATCAACCAAGCCGAGACGTACCTCTACATGTCCGGAATGAACTACACCGCCACCACGCAGGCGGGCGAGCACGGCGACGTCTGGTTCTACAACATCAAGACCGGCACCCACAAGCAGGTGGCGAAGGATGTCATGAGGAACGCGGGCATCCACCGTTGCAATGGTATCGACCTCTCCCCCGACGACAAGTACCTCTACGTCACCTCGGGCCAGAACTACAACGACACGGTCATCAGCACCAAGATCTACAGGTTCGAGATCGACCCCGCCACCGGCGAACCCAGAAACCCCACCACCGTGGTGGACCTCTACCAGGTCCTCGCCAATGCCGGTGTCAAGGCCAGGGAGAGGGGCATGGACCCCGATGGAATGCGCATGGACATCGCGGGAAACCTCTTCATCACCCTGAACGCCATCCCCGGCGTCCTCCGGTGGAGCACCACGATCCCCGGCAATGCCACCTACATCCCCCTCGAGACCGTGGACGCCCCGAGCAACCTGGAATTCGGGGGTGAGGATGGAAAGACTCTCTACATCGTTGGGCGCTGCCAGGACCGCGAGAAGGCCTGCGTCGACGCCTACAAACACAACATACCCGGCCGCGCCATCACCAATCTCCGATTGTCCGGCCCTCCAGGAACCGGAAACAGCACTAGTAAGTCCCCTGCTTCTCAGACAAAAGCAAATACTAATCTACAGTCACTCCAGATCCCGGAACCGAATTCCCCACCATGCCAAACCCACCCAACACCAACGGCAGCAGCAGTCCATCCGACGCCGATCAGGAAGAAAAGAGGAGGGAGCTTCTCGAGTGGATCAAGGTTGTCGAAAAGTACATTGCCAAGTGGCTCAAGGATTACAACCCGTCCAAAAACTAGATGAGACTATCATTTCACTGGCATAATTCCGCGTCCCTTCTATTATTTTTATTTTTTTTATCACTTGGGTGGATTATATGATTACCTGTATTAGAAAAACGTCATTAACGTACCTACTGAGCATTGTTTTGTCTTTTGTCCCTTTTTTTTCCCTTTACATACCTCTTCCTTTGTTTTTTTTTTTCTTCTTGTCCATTTTGTTGGTCCCCTTTCTCCCTCCCCCTTCGCTTCCCAACACAGTAATATTACCGGGGGTGGGAACGAGCCAACCCCACCCCAGGTTATTCATGTCTACCCGCATACAGTATACATCTCCATCAGGATGGAGCCACTGGAGGGGGGGGAAGATTGGACCAAGACCTTTTTTTTCTTTTTTTCTTTTCTCTCGTCTCGTTTTTATCCTATACACTTGTATTGTAGAATTACGCATCGGCATGGCGTTCATAATATTATACATTTCCCCTCTAACTTACATTACCATTCACCGTCCCTGCGGAAAAGTGGGCAGTGGAATGTGTTCGGGGTCGGGTGGTTGAGGTGCGCTCATTGGATGTCGAGTTAGATTGGCGTATGTAGATCCCCTACCCTTGTCGGTTTCGGATGTCAACTCTGGCCCCACAGCTGTCGTTCCGCTTCCCTTGAGTGTGAAACGAAACGGGTCGAGACTTTCTTTCAACCTTTCAACCTTTCCGATACGATGTGTACCAACCAGCCAACCTCCCGGGAAATAATTATGTTCATGGGTGGATGTATATGCGCGAGAGAAAGAAAAAAGCTTGTGATATCGGCCCTGTAACGGACTGCCATACACACTTTTTACTTTACCTTGTTTTGTTTCTTTCTTCTACACCGCACGGTGACAACCTTGAGTTACTCGAATCCCCCAAATTACCCTACCGTTAGAAAAAAAAAAAAAAAAATTTGTTTGTGTCCATCCGGCGTTACTCGAGCTCGGGCCTAGACCCTTGTTTGTTTGGGAATTTCCGAAAACTTTCCCCTCCATCTTGGCGAAATCGTGATGATATTGTGAAGAAATGAAAAAATAAAAAGAGGGAATCGAACAGGGTAGAGTAGAGATGGGTAGGATGCAGTAGTCTCACATCTGGAGGCTTCTTTCGACCGATTCCCGATTTTTATTCATTCATTTATTATTTCTTATTAGCATCATGATTTATCACTGACACTGGGGACCGAAAGTGTCGATGTCCTACCCGCCCACTTCCTCATAGACAGTATTCAGGTGAAGGACTGGATGGCATTTCATCCCCGTCACCCGCCGTCACTCGATTTCCATCTAGCTTTATGAGAGGAAGTGTATGTTTGTAGAAATACTATAGGCAAAAGTTCGGGGATATTTGCCAGTTCAAGTTGAGATGGCGGAAGAGGTATGCCCGCCCCCTCATGAACCGGTCAATGGGAAAGGCGGCAAACACATGGATTGCCATTTTTACTTTTTACTTTTATTTTTTTATCCTTATCTTCACTTCCGCTGTGGGGGAAGTGGGGTGGTGGTATCATATCATATCGTAGGCATTTCGGTGTGCAGCAGGCGGCTACCTACAGTAGGACCTCCCGAATTCTTGTTTTTGTCTTTTTTTTTTTTGTTATACTTTTGGAGAGAGGTTGGGGAGGGGTCCTATCATACTACTGGTGGGTGATAATAATAATAATAATAATAGTGGTGGCTGGGTATCCGACCAGGCACCGCATACCATCGGTACGATATACCAGTAGCAAAAAAAAAAAACCGCACAATATGGGAAAGAGTTTTTCAAAGTTTTCGGGGGGTTTTTTTATTTTTACTCTCCCGTTTTCATGCATGTATGATAACTTGGCATGTGAGGAGATAGTCTGCCAGATCATGATAACTTACATATAATATTATGATATATTGGGTCATTCGATGATATAGAAGTCAATAGATCCGTAACCAGCCAGAGCGAACGCGAGTAAACCGAACTCTTACCAGAGGTTTCTAAAAACGGTGCTGTGCATGGAGTAGAAGGGAGGAATTACATATGATACCATCCCTATAATAGCAATAATGATAGTAAAGCCCCGCTTGGTTGTGAGGTTTCCCTTGATGGATATCACAATTACAATTATCCGCAATAATATCATTTCCTCAAGATCCACACACTTCGCGTCTCCCCAGACGGGTGAAACTCGGCTACGCCACGATATGATAGCAGGAAAAGGACAGGAATGGGTATCCGCGAACACGATAAAGTATCACACGGTAAATGGATGCAACTCCCGGTGGTCACTCGTCCTTAGAAACCTATAAAATCTTTTCCAACTCGGAAAACCCACCCACTTCTAGTGTAAGTATCATAAGGTGGGCATTCTCGCTTTTAATTAGGTCGCTTATCTCGTGTTTCCGATCAGGGCTACGAGGTTCGCACCAATTAACCCATCCCGACCCCCGCTTGGCTTTCTCCCCCTCCGGCAAGACTCTTAAACGTCAGAGTTGATGGAAAAAAGTCTCTGGAAAGCTGTGCCCTCTCCTTTTGCCATGCCTTTTGCATACCGTACTCGAGTAAGCTGGTATTACGCATTCACGTTGCTATGGGGATTCCTATCTGGCATGTCATCGGTTGGTGACATGCTCCGGTTCAATAAGGTCCACGCTTTTTTTTTCAGAGTTGTTAGGATTTGTAAGCCAAGGCTCCTGATTGATTGCTTGATTGCTGGCAGCGTGGGACGGTACAGTTCTGCATGCTTTACTAGTGGAAGAGCGAAAGGGAGAGGTATGAAAGGCTACTTCTTACCAGATGAATGGATGAACTCATAGATTTTTAGAAACACGAGTGACTTTTCGTGAATCCTGTAGATTTTGGCTTTGGGTCTATTTCGTGAGATTGGTGGGGATGGAACCAAGGAGATCAAGTTATGGGGATCTTCAAGTGACTTCCGGAAATACGTGAGATCGGTGTGCTGTGTTTCTCTCCCTTTTTTTTCCCTTTTATCTTTTTTCTGCTGCTTAGGTTTGGGCGTCGAGCACTGAGCACTGCACATCGTGAAGTTCGGGGAAAACTAGTTGGCTCCTCGGCCACAAATCCTGGAAATACTATCGCCTTTTTCTTCATGATACCGTGCTGGTCACTTTGCAGTCCCCGTGGCCGATCTCGGAGGGAGGGGGAAAAGATTCATCCTCTGAACGGTCCCTGTCCGTTGGCACAATCACCTGGACATTATTGAGTCCCAGAAGTGTACTGTACGAACATCACACCTTCGGATATCGGAAATGGGTACCGTCTGTGTCTATCACCGCCTACGAGACACTACTCGTACTAGCACATCTCCGTGTCCAAAGAGAAGCACGCTAAGCTCCAGCAGAAAGGTATCGGGGATGCACCGGTATATACAGCCACTCGGCAAAAAGCCTTCGTGAAATATCGCCTTGGATTTGTTATCCCACATGACTAATACTGGATTGGCGGTGTATGATAGATCATGTATGATTCCGGTGGACTAGAAATAAATTCGATACCAACTTTCCGACGAAAAAGGTGTGCCAATTTCGAGCGTAATCCTGAGTGTAACACCTCTGCGTTTTATTTATTTATCGTTTTGCACCACTACGACTTAACTTCTGAAGCTTTCTCTTTCTAACTCGCGATCGGCCCCCGTATGATTTGATTTTAGAAGACTTGGCCTCTACTCCAACATTCAGACCAAAAGTGCCAATTTTTTTTCTGCGATAGCAATTGTGGCGGCTACCAATTATTTACTTCCACTCTCAAGTTATGAATCCTTGATACCTGAGGTTCCTTAATTATTGTGTTTTTCAAATATGAAGTCTGCACTCCCTACTAGGTACCGAATTGTTATTATACTAGTAGCAGGTGCATAGTTAGTAGTAAGAAAATGCATATAGCCCACAACCACCCAAATACTGAATTTAAACATCAAGGTACTAGTGCACTAAGATATTATCTACAAACAGAGAAGAAATCTTATCAATATATTTATTCTATATCAAACTTCTGTCTTAACAAATCTTTCGGACCTACTCTAAAGAAGACCTTTAGACCTAGATTAACTCACTTGTCTTTAGAGTTGACTACCCTCTAATAGCCATCACTAAGACTTTTGTCTAAGTGACTGTACTTTCTAAATCCAATGGTTTTCTTTAAGCATATTAACAATACTAGCTTGCTAGTAAAATTAAATGTAATAATAGTTGTTTTTTTTGTAGTAAATATACAAGACTACAAACCAACATATTTTTAAAACTTATTCTGTGAGTTTCAGTATTATTACTGTTCAAGAGTTTCTGATAATATAGAATAAAATAAAAAAAGCTACAAGAGGAGTCCTTCTTTAAATTTCTATCTTCTGTTTAAATAACAAATTCCTCCCAAATTTCCAGAGATAAAGCTAAAGAAAACTGTACTCTATTTCTAGTAACTACTATAGATATAAGAGAAAGATACTTGTACTATAAGATGAACTTTAATATCAATTTATATAATGCAAGTAGATAGTTTTAGTTATCTTTTTAATACTTACTCAAATTATTATCAAACCTAAAATTTAAGGACAGAAACAAGCCATTTCTAGTATTCTTACAGTTTTAAGAACTTAGTTTTTAGTCTACTTTCATAGAAAACTGTAATATATTTTAAGAACTTAGTTTTTAGTCTACTTTCACAGAAAACTGTAATATATTTTACAATAGCTAGTATAAAAACACTTTGTAGCAGTGAAGCATCTCTTAAATATAGGATACATCATGCAAAACTACAAATTACAGTAGCTATAGGACTAAGACATGGCCAACTTGAAGACTTGACAATCTGCATAGAATTATGCTCTAGGTTACCTTGTCTAAAGCAAGCCTATTAACTGCAGTAGCTATTAATAGATAGGGCTCATTTAGGAAAAAAAAGAACACAAAGAAAGTGAGAATATGTGATTAGAACAGTTGGAGGTTTTCCAAAAATAGAGAAAGAAAAAAACAGAAAAATATCCTGTTATTATATTATAATATTATAAGGAGGGGGTGGAAGGAAGGAGGAGCACCCAAGAGGATCACCAAAAAAAAAAAAACCAATGTCCAACTCCACAACGTCAGCTTTCGTTTCTAACATGCATCATAATATTATACTCTGGAATAACAAAAAATCGCCCAGCATCCATCCAGAAACTATGACTACAGTTCGCGCAACGGATTCGATAAATTCCCGGCTTCTCAAGCCCCAGGTCTCCCGCTATACACGTTCAAGAATTTCTTGGGACCAACGTTGGCCATTTAAGCTTCGTTACACCGTACCAACTCGAATGGGGGAACGGTGTGCTATGCAGTCAGGAATTCCCAACTTTGGAAAAGGGGACGAAAATCACCGCAAGAAAGGGGGAAATAAAAAACAAAATAAAAAGCCAGACCTCACCAGAGGGGGCAAGTCCAACGACATAGCACACCGTTCTCTCATTCAGTTTAATAGGGTATCTCCGTCACAGATAACTTTTTGTTTTACTTGTGCCACTGGGTTGGTGGCGGACATGAAGTATCACTCGGAAGGGTCTGCAGAGTACCACATGCAGATATAGACTAGAGGCAGAACTGTTGCGCAGAAGGTTTCTTTAAGACTTGGGGCAAGGTACGGTGAGTGTCGGGCACTCAGAGCTGGTTGGCGGGGGGGGGTGCTCAATTGGATACTGGATGCTAATGGTGAGTTTCGATTGATATGTATCGCAAGTTGGCGCTTCAGATTCGTGACCCGCTATCGACAGAGTCCAATACGATACTCGAACCGGTACCGCTCAACGATTCATCCCCATTCGCACCCGGTGGGCAAACTTCATTAATAGCCAGGCACAACGAGCAACAATACAGAAACCCCAGCCAAACAATGTCATCCAAATAAATTCGGAGAAACAGGTTCAGTCTTTGCTTCATGTGGCACAAGGGATTCCCAAAAATCTATCGAACCCATAACACTATTGAAAAGCGCAGCAAACCAGTATTATGATCCCTTCATTATCTCAGGAAAAGAAAATTTCGCTCAGATATCTATTACCGTAGAAGCCCGGAGATGCAATGACAAGACTGCCAAAAAGCTGCCAAAAAGAAAAGATGCGACTTTAACAACAGGACCAGCCGACGGCCTCTGGAAAAATTTTGGAGATTTGTGAAACAAGTTGCCGGGTGATTATTCCGGCCGGCGGTGGTGTTTGAAGGAAAAACACCTTCGGATTAATCCGCTACATGTTACCCTGCCCGTCGCTGCACCTATGATAGCCAAATTCTCGACGGACACTAACTTAACTTACTCTGTTCCACGGATAGCCGTTGTGGCACTCTTCCGCTCGCCGCAACCGTTATTACTTCCACTCCACCTCACACTCCCCGCGTTCACCCCCCACAGTCGCGCCGGTGAACTGAGGTTCAAGATGGCATTTAGAAGTCCACTCCTGCGCACAACGCTTCAATTCCGCTGCCGTTCCGCACCCGCCGCTATCACCACAATTCCAACGGCAACTCGGCACCTAGCAACCACATCCCCCCTACCACCCAGCAACGGTGGAAAAAAGCGCCAGCCAACAACCTTCACGGACAAACTCAATGTGGGCCCCTCCTTCTCAGACTTTGTCACGAGCGGCACAGCCCCAATCACGAATGCCGAGGAAGCGCTAGAACTCGACTCGGCCGTCGACACCGTGGGCAGCAAACCCCAAGCCTTCGACAAGTACGGAAACCCAATCACCCGCCTGCCAACCTGGCTCAAGACTCCAATCCCCACGGGCGCCAACTTCACGCGCATAAAGTCCGACCTGCGCGGCCTTGGTCTGCACACCGTCTGCGAGGAGGCGCGCTGTCCAAACATCTCCACGTGCTGGGGCGGGACGGACAAGTCCTCCGCCACCGCCACGATAATGCTCATGGGCGACACCTGCACGCGCGGCTGTCGCTTCTGCTCCGTCAAGACCTCCCGCACGCCCGCACCCCTGGACCCGCACGAGCCGGAGCACACGGCCGAGGCTCTGCGGCGGTGGGGCCTCGGATACGTGGTTCTGACATCTGTCGATCGGGACGACCTGCCGGATGGGGGCGCCGCGCACTTCGCCGAGACCATCACCAAGATCAAGCAGCGGGCGGGGCACATTCTCGTCGAGGCGCTCACGGGCGACTTCATGGGGGACCTGGACTGCGTGAGGAGAGTCGCTGAGAGCGGGTTGGATGTGTACGCTCATAACGTGGAGACGGTGGAGGGGCTGACGCCCTACGTGCGCGATCGGAGGGCAACCTTCAGGCAGAGCTTGAAAGTGCTCGAAGCCGCGAAGGCCGCTCGCGAGGGGCTGATCACAAAGACCAGTATCATGCTCGGTTTGGGCGAGAAGCAGGAGGAGGTTCTCGACACTCTGAGAGGTTCCCCACCCCGTACCACCCACTTCTTAGGATATACAGGAACGGCCAACTGATAATCCATGCCAGAACTCCGAAAAATAAACGTCGATGTCGTAACCTTCGGCCAGTACATGCGTCCCACAAAGCGTCACATGAAGGTTGCAGAGTACATCACACCGGAAACCTTCGACATGTGGAGGGTCAAAGCGCTGGATATGGGCTTCCTATACGTCGCCAGTGGCCCGCTGGTCCGCAGCAGTTACAAAGCCGGCGAAGCCTTCATCGAGAACGTGCTCAAGAAGAGAGCCGCCGGGAAGAAGGCCACGGCTCTCGCATCGGCGCCGGGAGGCGAACTGGATAAGCTTTCGACGGAATGAAAATGATCGAGATGAAAGTGTTTTTGTTTTTTGAGTAACTTAGATTTCTTCCTGTACTTTCTGTTTCAACGGTGTCACGCTGGTCCAATACTACTAGATCTCGGGACAAAGGCGTGGTTGGGCCTCCTTCCCTATTGTAATTCTCTCCTAGGAGGGAAAAAAGAGAAAAGAAAAAGAAAAAGAAAAAGAAAAACATTTCTGGCGTTGGGTTGGTTAGGTTATGATTGTTATCGATGATAATTATGATATCGACAGCTACGATGCTATGTGTGAGTTCCATTGATTGATTCGGACAGACTATGATCCGCAACATGGCATCGCTATCCAAAATTAAAACTGGGAAACACGGTGGATATTGCAGTGAATACAGGTATCGCCACCACCACCCGCACACCTGGGAGGGAGGGAGGGGATTGGCAGCATGATAGTAGCCCCAGATAAAATGTAGCATTGCAATACAATCTATCATCACTACTTCAGTACGGCATAGAGAGGCCTATGGTAGTCCTCTGCCCCGTAATCTCCGGTATCACCGCCAACTTGCACCTGCCACCGCATAGTACTCGCGATTCGTGTTAGATATAGTATCGTAAGTTGGAATGGCGGGGACTCTTGGGTGGGTCTGGAGTAGAATTTCGGACCGGGTAGGCCTGGGGTCGACAGTGTCGACATGAGCTGTCACTCGGAAATTATTATCGTTATCATACCTTGATCGTAATGCCACAACATGCAGAAATACTGAAGCCGTTCTTGTATGATGACACCGGATCATCCATTTGGATTAATTGTTTCATCTTGCTTGAACCCTTTAACCTACAGCCTTGCCTTTACCTCCTCCCCAAGACTTTCCTCCACCAACTTCACGGCCTCCTCAGTCATTCCGTAACTCGCTTGATCTATCACCACCGCCATCACCACCGTCAGCATCCGCAGCTCAAAAAAACCGCAAGTGGTGAGGAAATGACATACAACCAAAACTCCCCGCCCCGTAATTATGCACAACCCTGACCCCCCCAATGGCCTCCCTCTCAACCCTGGCCCCGCCCTCCCTGAACGGCCTCAAGCCCACTCCATGTCTTACAACGTCCAACCCTTCAACTCCCTCCCCCTTACTCACCAACTCCGGACACCACTCCACCGCCCTCTTCATAATCCTCTCAGCAGTTGATTTATCCGGAACAGAACTCCAATTCCCCTTCTGATACGTTCCCCCCAACACAGTGCCGCCACCAGCCGCACGAGTCATAATGTACATCACCTCATCGTCGCCGTCGTCTGTGCCCGAAACTACAATCATGGCGGGCGCGATGTTGCGGACTAGAACTGTTTGTCCGCGTACTGGGGTTACCCTCGAGTCGGCGACGCCACCGAGGGTAGAAGAGCCTAGGCCCGTGCAGTTTACGACTACTATGTCCGAGGAGGATGTGGGATGAAAGTTGACGGCATCGCGAATGTGCGTTAATGCACCACGGCAGAATGTTACCTGCCGCTTGAGGCATTGGGATAGCAAATACGGGAGGTATATCGCTGTGTTAATACACATTGACTTCCACCTCGTGCCAAAGTCAACGCCTGGTGGGAGATCCGATTTCGGGATTGTTCGGAACTGCATGCATTAGCTCACTCTGCCCGGTTTAGGCCATTGCACAGCACCTCTGGGACAGCACTGGCAAACCAGGGCCTCTCCTTCAGCAATTCGGAAAACCAATCCGCCGTAACGCTCCGGGAGTCCTTCTCCCGTCGGTAGATTATCGCGTCTTGAAAGTGAACCCCAGCCTCCGGGACTTGGGCAGCCAATCTGTAGAGCTCTGCAAAGGTAACCCGGTCCCATTCCGCTTCGCGGGTGCCCGGGGTTGATATTCTATGCTCTCTTAGCTACCGTAAGGATTCAGGGCGGGAGGGGTATTGTGCCATACGGATAGTAGTTTGCTCCCGCCCATGGAGAGGTATAGTCTATGTCGTAGTCCCCCGGCATGTGTTTCGCCACGACAGCCACGGAATGGCCACGTTTTGAGAGAATGAGGGCTGTCGTTAGGCCGGCTACGCCGGCGCTATTTGATATTGTTAGCGGTTTTTGGCACCACTTGAACGTTCGAGAAACATGCCCGACCACGACAACTTTACCCTTCCCACCCATGGTTTGCTGCTTCGAGCAATTCGTTGATGAAGTTTTCTTGGGGAGTGACAAGCCTGGTTGGGAGAAGCAGAGGGCAATAGCATAGATAAAAGTCTTGGTACGGAGGAAACCAATGTGCTGCGAGTGTCCCAAAGCATACTCAAGTACGGTACTACGGGTAGTCTACCCGTGGGTGCGGAAAACCGCACGCTAGCCACGGATACCACAGCACGGAGCAGCAACAACCCCCTTCCAGCGCAGAGACTCCCAGTGGGGCAATCCCGTGTGGATCTCACTGTAGCAATTCCTCTGCCCGCCAATTACTCTGATTCCCAATCCACCTCTACCGGTATCGCATTCCAAGATCAAGTCAACTCAATTGAGCTCCACCGACCTCGGTATTCGACTCACCAACTACGCTACTATAAGGTGTGGACTTCACCCTATTCGGAAAAGGCCTACCTACGATGTGGGTATGGGGACATTGTATGACAGAACGCCACATCCTGCTTCTTGTCGGACTGCGAGAGCCTATCATCTGATACCGCACTGTTGTACCAAGAGCGGGAAATTGATGGATGATATCGGGTAAGAAATCGTGACTGCAGGGGACAGGCGAAAAGACTTGTTCATAACAGTACATACATGCATATCCCGGACACAATAATCACACACACACAAGTTGAGCACGAACTCCCCCCAGAAAATCTAACAGCCACAAATAAATAGATGCCAAAGTATGAGCAGTTATAGGAATAATGAAAGAAACCGAAGGAGGAACAAAAGAGACAAGTAAAGTCAAATTAGAAGCAAGTCCATCTAAACAGTGTCCAAAAGGCCCTCGCTCTCAAGAAGGAGGACAATCTGGTGTACAATGTTGCGAACAGTCTGCTTGCTAGCATCCACAACAAGACTAGGCTTGGTGGGATCCTCATACGGATCATCCACGCCAGTAAACCCCTTGATTTCACCACTGCGGGCGCGGGCGTATACCCCGCGCTTGTCCGTCTTCTCGCAGTATTCCAACGGCGTGGCGACGTGGATGAGGTACACGGACCCGAACTGCTCGATGGTCTGCTTCGCCTGGATGCGGGAGCTCTCGAATGGGGCGATGGGCGCAGCGATGACGGCGGCACCAGCGCGAGTCAGTTCGGCTGCGACGAAGGCGATGCGTTGAATGTTCTTGTGGCGGTCTTCCCGGGAGAAGCCGAGCTCTGCAGAGAGCTCGGAACGGACAGTCTCGCCGAGGAGAAGAGTGGATGAGCGGCCGCCCTGCTGGTTCAGTGTCACTTGTAGGGCACGGGCGACGGCATCCTTGCCGCTGTTGGTGTACCCGGTCAGGAAGACGGTGAAGCCTTGTTTGTGACGGGGTGGGTGGGATTCCCGAAGGACTTTGACGACTTCGGGGTATGAGAACCACTCTGGGATGGGGGTCCCTATACGGAGACGGCGACGAAGTTCTGGCAACGTTAGCATGTATCATTGGGTTTGCCCATGTAGCTAGGAATACTAATCATACCAGTTCCGGAAATGTTCAAGGTCTTGGTCCCCGGCTTGATCTCATCGATGGGAGCATACTCGTCGGTGTCGGGGAGATACGTCATCATCTGGAATGGAACAACCTCAATTCCTAACTCACTCTTGTACTTTTCAATGGCACGTTGAGCATCGTAGGGACCGTAAAACTCAACACCCTTCGAGTTGCTTCCAGGACCAGCGTGGTCCCTCCCGACAATGAAGTGAGTGGCACCGTGGTTCTTACGGATAATGGCGTGCCAGATGGCCTCACGGGGTCCTCCCATGCGCATAGCGAGGGGGAGAAGACCAAGGACGGCCATGCCGTTAGGGTATCGGGGGAGAAGGGCTTGGTAGACGCGCACACGAGTAAAGTGATCAATGTCGCCCGGCTTGGTGAGACCCACAACGGGGTGGATGAGTACGTTTGCCTGGCGCGCCCTCGCTGCACGGACCGTGAGCTCCCTATGAGCCCTGTGCATGGGATTCCTGGTCTGGAAGGCGACGATCCTGGACCATCCCAGCTTCTCAAAATGTAACCTCAATTCGGCGGGAGTGTCTATACCGCAATTAGCACCACACAATAGTGTCGCGCCAATTGGGGTCACCAACATCTCAGGCCAACGTAGTCGTAGTGATTGAGCCTGTTAATGGCGTCAATCCTCCCACCCACATAATATTCCCGAGCGGTGCTAAACAGATAACGGATAGCAGGGTGCTCTTCATCGCCGCCCAAGACCTCCCTAGCCTCCTTTTGCCTACTTGCTAGTCAGGGCGGGTTCGCTCACAAGATGTCACTCTCAACCTACTTGTCAGGTCTGTAGACGTCGTCGACGGTAATGATGGCCAAGTGACGGTCATCACGGAAATCACGGAGCGTGATTCTTGCGCCAGCCCTGATACCCAGTCCCTCGATTTGAGCCCTGGTAACATCCAGAGTGATGGGCATGGAGAAGAGGGTTCCATCGACGAGGCGGAGGTTCTCAACAACCCTGTCCCGATATCAACATTCACCCACCTCTCAATTCCGGGGAATGCAAAGACAAACCCGTTGTAATTCCTCTCGTTCATAAAACCTATTCGCACCGGTTAGGACACGCACACCACGAGGCAAAAGGAGAAGCAATCACGACTCACCCTCCAAGGGGGAAAATCCACCACTCAGGATCAGCTCCAAATCGCAAAGTTGACGCTCGGTGAGAACCAGAGCTGGAAGGTTCTCCGACTCAGCGAGCAGCTCATTGTGCCTAGGGAGGTCCCTAGCAATCAAGTCCTTGAGGACACCTCCGTGGGGCAGCGGCAAATCCGACATTCTAGCGATGAGGGGGAGCAGTGAATGGATCAGAGGGATCAGAGTAGAAACTAAATACAGTGCCCTGGAAGCTGGGGCAAAGAAATGAGGACTGGGAGCGGGAACTATGGACACAGATATTCATAGAGAAAGGGACACGACCTTTAAATTCGTATTTTCATAGAAAGGCTCACGAAGGAACATTTCCCTTCAAATGACGTGATTTCGCTCCGGAATTGCAAACCACCCCAGCTCCCCTTCGACCGTCTTGGCCTCCGAAGCCGCACTAGGGGCGATAAGGCGTTCTCTCAGGGTATAATGAGAGAGGCCTTCATTTTTCTTACGCACCGTAGCGGTATGAATAGCGGGGTGCGGGTTGGGGGCCGTTTTCTTTTTTCTCCTCTCCTTTCCACCCCGTTCAAGAGGGGCTAGGGTTGGGCTGGGTCAACCGCGCTCGGAGGGGCAATATCAGTAGTGGGGCTCTGCGGGGCATAAAACTTGAAGGGGGGTTGAAAAGGCTTGTCCTTCCATTCATTTGTTCCTGGACAGAGTGACGGCAGATAGCATAATATCTCTTGGCATTGTGTGGGCATCCCATCTGGTTCCCGCGAAAAACAATCTCGGTCATCAGCATCACTGTTCCACCGGTGGTGTTCTATTATGGCTGATACGGCATTTCAAGCTAGGTCTTTGGTATTTGATCCCTCTCGTCATCAAGATGAAAATACTGATAGAGGCCATGTCGCTCTCAGTACCGCAATCTTCTCCGCTTCTCCAATCGTTTTTCCTCCTACAACTTCCGCGAGTACGCGAGGCGGAGGACTAGGGATGCCTTCCGGGAACACAAGAGCATCGAGGACCCGAGGAGAATCCAGGAGCTCGTGCAGAAGGGATTGAAGGAGCTTCAGGTGTTGAAGGTCCGTTCCACCACAGTCGGCTGATGACGATGGCGCCATCCGAGCGGGCGTGTGGGAAGTGTGCTGATTAGGGCCCGGGGAAATCTAGAGACAAACCATGATTAGCCAGTTCTTCCAGATGGATAGATTGGTCGTTGAGGGCGGTGCTTCGGTATCTCTCCTCCTATGAGGTGTGAAGCCCGATCAGAGCTGACCATTGGACAGGGAAAACTGAAGGGTAGAAGGGGGGACATTGTGCGGCAAAAGGAGCTCGGGTGAGACCTCCCCTTACACCGCTCCTCCGGGGTCCTGCTAACGACCGCCAAAATAGTTGGGCCTAAGCGTTCGCTCTTTTTTTTTTTTCACTTTGCTTCACGTCTTGTTCATAGATGGGATTCGTTAGTTTGGTTAATTCCGCAGTCTCATTCCCAGCTGTACCGTACTGCGCGTACCGTACTACCGGCCATCGACAGCCCAGATAGTAGTAATGGGTGGACCGTATTATCATACCAGTTTATCTATAGTCTCTCCCCCTCGTTACCTCCCAGGTCCCTAGCACCGTATTACCCCCGAAATGGCGAGCAAGGCCAGGCCGGAGCTGTGGGCCAAGTTCGAGAAACGAGTGGTGCTTAGCCTCTCGAATATGGCCCCTACCTACCTAGTACCGTATGTGCATTGCACTGCGGAATGCAAAAGTTGACATGCACCCGAGTAGACTACCGCCCATACATGGCTCATGCTTCTTATGACCTCCGGCCAAAGTCAGCCTCTTCATCATTTCCTTGAATCTTCACCGCGGTCCCATCGGTTAGCCCGACTCTCCGCACGTCGTGGTGAACGGAGGAGTCCATTGTGAAACCCCGAAATCACCGGCACTGGCGTCACCCAGCATTGTCGGCAGGGTAACTTAACCGTTTGCCCTTGCCACGCATCTTGCCCCACCGCGCAAACCTCTGTTTTGCATATGTCGCCATTGCTGGAAGGATCACAACAAGCTCAACCGTCCCACAGACATGATCACGGAGAGCCATCGAGCCTGCGAGACCAATTATCATCCGTCCGTTCCTCCATCATATCATCATTCCTCGACTCTAAGGCCCGCAGCATATGATAGGTCACTCCGTTGGCTTACCGTATCCCGATCCAGCCAATGCCAAGCCTTGTCTCCCGGTGCCCGGCGTCCCCTTTTTCCTCGCCAACCTCTGCCCGCATCCATCGCGACAAACCAGAAGTCAAACACACGAAAAACACGTCAGCAAAACCCTAGAGCCTCAACCTCTCGAGAGGACCAGCCAAAACAACACAAAAAAAAGTCAGGCTGCCAAAAACATCTTCGCTTTGGCCTATCACCTTCTTTGCAATAAACGCGAACCCGTGGTTCGTGTGAAGTGAGAAAAGAAAAATGCCAGCACGCATCTCCTTTGTGAGCTCTCTACCTCCCCCCCCCTCCTTCGTTCATCCTTTCCCGCTGTCACAGTGTCAAACGCTTCCTCCTCCTCCGCTATCATGAAGAAGGAACCCTCTACGGCAGCGACGGTGACTAACACATCCCAGTACCGCCCAAACGGCCAATCCCGCCGCCAAGCACGCTCCGCCAACGACCACGACGTCTTCGAGGGACTGCCGGTCCGCCGGTGGTCCCGACAATGGGTTCACGTCGGCAAATCCGCACCCCCGCCCCCTCCCGAACCAGAGCTCCCCCTGCCGAAAGAGACCCACCTCCTTCCGCCCATGTCCCAGGCACTCCTCCAAGCCGCGAGGTCAAGTTCGCAGGGCAAGCCCACCGCCAAACCAGCGCACATCCCGGGACAGCAACTCTTCCAGACCAAACGCTGGATGCAGGTCCCACGTCACTTGGAACCACCCGAGCCCGTGTACCTAGCTAAGCCGCTCGGCGGGAAGCGCAAGAGGACGGAAGTGGAGCCCCCGCCGCCGCCAGTTGTCGCGCCCGTTAGACGTCGTGTCCCGCCGCCGAAGAGAAAGGCGAAGCCTAGAGGTAGAAGACCAGGCTACCGGAAGACCGTGACCTTCGCCGCCGAAGGGAATACCGAAGGTGCTACCGAGGCCGGGGCGATCTTGATCGACCCTGCGTCGGTTGTGGAAGCGCCGCCAGTCCCTCCAGCTACTGCTGCTGAAGTCCAGGAAGTTGTTCAGCTCGTGATGCCGGCGGTGCCGGCTCCGGAGAAAAAGAAGGGACCCAAGGGAAAGAAAAAGGGACTGGGCAAGAAGAAGGACGTTTCCGGGAAGAAGCTGAAAAAGGCCAAGGGTGCCGTCGGCATCAGCACTCCCGGGAAGGGGAAGAAGAAGGTCAAAGCGGTAGCAACATCTGCGTCTTCAGCTCCGGCACCCACGACCACCAACGATGGTGATGGCGATACCTCCATGGGCGGCACCGAGGCTCCCGCAATCGACCATGCCACCCCTACCATTGCGATCCCGAACGATGAGAACTTGGTTCCCAAAGTTTGACGGATGGGACGGTAATTCTCGACGGTGGGGCGGGTGTTCGTTCCTTCCTCTATTTCCTTCCTTGTACTATGCTGCTTGTCAATTTTGGGCTGGGTTTGGTTTTCCCCCTTTTCAACCCCGTTTTTCTCCTGTCATGTCTATCGGGCTTCATCCTGAACACTATTTCTTTTTTTCTCTTTTTTTTTTTCAAATCGATCAAACGATTGATTAATGGTTAATCGGGTGGATACACCCATGCGTGATGTTTTTTAAGTCGTGACTTTGCTTTTACCCATTTATCGCAGCGTATCTCAGCAAGGGCTAAAGCTAAAGCCCATTATTATACCATGACACCGCAAGACTAGCAGTGACGATGAGCGGCACCAATCAATGCACCGTGCAGCGCGATACCCAAAATCCAGCATGTCCCCCCCCCCCCCCCCCCGCCGTTCATATCATGGCAGAATCCGACCACCAACCCGACACCCGCAACACCACAAAATGCTCACCCAGACCACCGCCGCAAATCAATCGACCCCCCAGTCCGGCCAAATCGAATACCGTAAAAGACCAATACCAGTCATCGTTAGAACTATGGCCCACCTAATCCAACAAACACCCCCACCGATACCGGTACCATGTCGTGTGTGTCGGGAAAACTCCAACTCTGGAAACCTTGATGCCCGATTTCGGGGCTGTCCGGGAGCCATCAGCGGGTAGGTTGGGGGTTTTTTTCTCTACTTTTTTAGAACCGATTGGTTTACCGGGTTGGGTTGAATTGATTGATTGGGTTTTTGGCAGGTGTGGTAATTTGTGATTGTGGTTACGGTAAGCTTTAGGAATAAAGGATTGGGGAGGTTTGGTCCATGTCGATGGATCGCGAAATGGTATCATATCACAATTGAAAAAAAAGGTATTCTGTGAACGAGAAGGATAAAGTGGTTCGTTGTGAAAAAAAAAGAAAAAAAAAAGTACAAGGGTCAACTGGCAAAGTAAAGGCCTAAAAGAACAAGAAATCCGGATGTATCCGATAGCATCCTACAAGCTTCCTAGAGATGATACAATATGATGGGCAATGTTTAACCACAGCTACCATCACTGCATCCGCCCGAGCCCCTAATGCCATCCACCGTGCCAAGCTTCTTCCCAGAGCCGGAACCCGGCGGGCCAGGGGGAGGTGGAGGTCCACCCGGGCGCCCAGCTCCGCCGAAGCCTCCAGGAGCACGCTTCTTCTGCTGCTCCCTGGGTTTTCCGTAATTCGCAAACATGGAGTTTTCAGCAGCAGGGATGGCGTCAAACTAACGCGCCATGCACATTAGCCTCCCTAAGAAAAGAAACAGAGAGATTATGATACTCACAGAAAACAAAGAGGTAAAATACAACCCCAAAAAGACAATAACAGTCCTAAGCATACCTCTAGCCCACGCTCCGATCGGCAAACTATCGATAACCCGCCCATCAAGAACGTACTTCACTGCCTCTCCCACCGCTGAAGGCCCCCCTCCTCCTCCAGGTGGCGGAACTACAAGCGCCGGATCATTCCCCAGCTTATACCCCTTTCCAAACCCCCCTCCAGCGCCACCGGCGGCGCCAGCCCACTTCTCCACAGTCGCCGTCAAAGCCCCGCGATCAGCGCCCATGATGCGATCGACCTCACTACCGCGCTGCAGAACCACGAAGGTCGGCATCGCGCGAACTGAGTATTCCCGTGAGATGTCCGAGCAGGCGTCTACGTCGCATTTGGCGAAGGCCAGGTTGGGAGTTTTTGCATGCTTGGTGGCCAGGTCTTCGAAGACTGGGGATATGGCTTTGCAGGGGCCGCACCAGGTTGCGGTGACTAGACTTTTGTCAGTTGGTTGAGTAAGGGGGAAGATGGGAGAGGGGCGGGAGGGAAGCACAGTCTATGATTACGACGGCATTTTTGGCGATTATGGTGGAGAGCTGTGAAGATGAAGAGATTGATTGGACGGTTGTCATTTCTCTCTTTTCTTTTTGTTTTCGCGAGGACTAACAGTGGTGATGGTGGTGATGGTGGTGATTTCGAGAAGTGGTGAGGTGAGGTAAGACTAAGGTTAAGAGAAGTGGCCTTGTGGGTCTGATTGGTAATTGATTGATCGCCGGTGACGTTTTGAACGCTACTCTGGGTATGGGAAATACGCCGGGATAGGAAGTACTACCGCAGTACGAGTACCGTATCATACTACGATACCGGCACTGGCCCGAGCACCAGCAGTGTGTATTCACGAACACTAGGGCTTTTCCATCCTAGATTTCTCTAACCATAACGCTTTTAACACCCCTTCAACCACATTTTGAAGAGGGGATTGTGGGCTGATAGAGGGCGGCACAGTGTCAATAGAAATGGTCCGGGCCGGCTCCCGTTGAGATGCGGGAAGTTGCAATCGTGGGTCCGCGCATGATCCCAGCAAGCGCTCATCATCCAAGGATGCCAACAGCCGCACCAGACCAGAAAGGACGGGGTGATATCTTCGGAACCGTCCGGTATTCGACCCTGGGTGTGTACTGCACATGAGACCTCCAGCAATACCGTAGACCCCGGACGAAGTTGAAGCACAAGTAATCACTCTGATGCGAACCCCCCAAGATGATGAACATGCGGTCTGATCAACTTACCCCTGTAGACGATCATACGCACTAACCTTACCATGCCGCCGGAGTTCCCTTGTAACTTAATGCCTTTCTTGCCCATTTTCCTCTAAAAAGGCCCTCCAAACTTGTCGTGCCATGGGATCCCCACTGCTCCAAGAGTCAACTCGAGCAACTATCCCCCTGGAGGAGGCGCCAGATACGCCGATATTACGGACCAATTTTCTAAGTAACCACCAGCAGCAGCTTGCTCGTAGATCCAACCCAATTAGTCTTACCTTATTAGGATCAGAAGTTGGGCTCAACTACTCGTACTCGCACAGTATGATACCGTATCCGGCCCAACATCTAGAATAATAGCTCCCGGCAAGGCCAAAGTCGGGCGTGCTGGAGCCATACACCCTTTAGCCAATCGATCAATCAATCAACCAGTCAATCCCCCGCCATCCAAGACCTGGCCACAGTTAATCACTCGCCTTAGACCTGAAGACATTAACATCGACAGCACGAGGGGTTTCTGACATACCAGAAGATTTGAGGTTAGGGGAGGGAAAAATAAAAATAAAAATCCCCACTGTACGACAACATTGGAACATAGACCATTAAGGAAACATCGCACATGAGCCTTTATGTATCACACCACCCGAAACGCAGCTGTGGTGAACCGCCAGTAATGATTGATACCTCAGCATGAGAGTCCGGGCCTGGGGAGCCAGAGGGGCTATCTGAAAGCCCGATCCGCATGATTCTCCAAGCTCTAGCGTACCGTATCCGACCCCGGGGGTTCCACAACACGTGGTGCTGCTGCTGTACGAGCGTTGGGTCTTGTGGACCGAAATGGCCCCCTGGAGTGCTTGTGCTATCCGGGCATATTACCGGAGCAGGGCGCATATTGGGGTGTTACTGGAGAACGCATAAGGGGGGCCAAGACACTGGGCGGCTGCCCACTTGGTGAAAGGTTCCTGGGTAACAGAGGCATCCAGCCCGGGGCTGCATAAGGTTTACGCAAGTTTTTCGGGTTGATGGGCTTGGGTACGTGCACCGCCCCTTCTTGCACACAAGCCCATCATATTCACACCAAACTTGGCAGGGACTGAATGCCTCTAATATCGTCGCAGTGCCCGGTGGAGATATCGGCGAAATATCACGATCCGGCAAACCCTAATTGTGAGGAGGGGGGGAAATGTCAATTTTCATTCCTCTAAGCCCAGGAAACGCAATAGTCAAACAATACAATACAATACTAACAACACAAACATGGCATATAGCATGAAATGCGTATATACACCGCGCACCTAGTCCCCGAAAGCAATTCACTTCATGAAACGGAATATTACAGTTTGCGTTCAAGGAGAGGGATCCGATGAAAACAAAGGAGTGGGGTGGATTAGGATAACGGGTTGGAGGTTTTCGACAAAAATATGGATATCTGATATCTCGCGGAGATTACGGGTGATAGGAAGGATGAGAAATGATAGCAAAGTAATAAAGTAACAGAAAAGAAGGGAGGAAGGGAGGAAAACGTAAGGATAATAAGAAGGTATGTAATTGGGAAGATAGAAAAGTAATAGAAAGAAGCCGATAGATTCTCCACTCAACACCGACAAGAGGAAAAAAGACAAAGAAATGTAAGAATTCTATCCCAATCAAAGAGCAAGCAAAAGACTCTCGCGGAAATAGAAAGAAAGAAAGAGGAGGGAAAAATAAGAATAAAAGAGGAAGAGAAATGAGACACAAATAGTCTATTTTTCGCACCCCAACTCGACAACCGTCAACATTAATTCCAGCCAGGGAGTATATATACTCATGACAAAAGGGAACACAAAAAGGAAACAAAACGTCATCATATCACACCACCCGCTATTACGGGTTCCTGCTGAGCTTGTAGGTGGTTCTGCTGCTGCTGAGACCTTGAGACAGGACTTCTCGCCTCATCCCCTCTGCTATCGCTCCTCCTTGCCGCATCACTTTCCTCTTGCTGCAACTTTTGTCGCCACATAGCAAGACTGCTCGAAAGCTCCCCACCTTCGGTGGAAGTTGGTGTCTTCTCGAAGTCAAAGGTGCTGCTGAGTCGGTAGTTTTTGTTAGTGTTCTCCCAATGGGTGCGGAGAGCATCCAATTCCGTGGCGAGTGAATCTAAGGCGACGCTGTTTCTTGCGTCGGGCCCGGCTCCGTAAAAGCTACTCCGCGCGGATCCCGTTTCAATGGATCCACTAGCGCCTTCCAAGCGGGTGCTACGCCGATAGGCGTCCACTGAATCCTCCACACGATCAAGCAGGAAAGAGACTCTCTCCTCCGCGTCCTGGGCTCGTCGCTCTAGCTGATTGTTTTCCATCTCGAGCCTCTCAACCATCTGCCTCGTTTCGCTGAGTTGCTGAGAGACGTCCATGATCTGGAGCTGGAGCTGGTTGTGGCCAATCTTGAACTGATCGCGCTCTTCTCGGAGGGAGTCCAGGGTTTCCTTGGATTCACGGATCTGCTTGTCGAGGGCAGTGGCGGATTCTCGGACCTTTGTTCGGAGGTCGTCGATCTCCCTTTTGAGTGAAGCTCGCTCGCTCTCCCAGCTCTCGGCCCCGATCTCGGAAACAGATCCCTGTCTTGAGCGTTCGCTGTTCTTTCTCTGTGCCTCCTCGAGTTCAAGGTGGAGTCTGGCGTTCTGAGCCTTGTTCTTTGCAAGCTCATCCTTCATACGCTTCAGGAGTTTCTCGGTGCCTTTAACGTAGTGTACAGCAGACTGGTAATCATTCTCGAGTTGTTCAAGCTTCTCACGGAAGTGCTTCTCTACCTCTTGTGCCTGCATTTCCGCGGTCGACTTGGTCTCACGGTGGGCACGGAGACTCTCCTCCAGACGAGTCTCGAGCTCACGAAGGCGATTGATCTGCTCGGGGGTCGCGGTTCCGGAGGGACTAGGGCTTTGAAGGTTGTGGGAACGGCGCTTATCATAGCCGGCCATACTCGAGCGCTCGGCGAGAATTTCCTTGAGAGCGTTGTGTTTGGTCGTAATGGAGTCAACTTCTAGTTGACGGTCAAGAAGACGAGCGTTGTTCTCTGCATTCTCCTGTTTTAGTCGTCGCACTTCGTCGAGAGCTTCCGCCATCCGTCTGCGAAGAGCTATTGCATCCTTGCTGGCCTGGCCCTGTTGGAACTCCAAACCGGCAACTCTCTGCATAGCCTGTGCAAGTTTCTCGCCAGTTTCATCGGCTTGAGCTTTGCTCCTCGCAAGTAGACTATTGGCAGAGGCCACTTGATCCTGGAGAACTCTGACACGCTCATCGGCCGCACCAGTATCGCTCATAATTTCCCTCTCGGATACCTTCTGAAGCCCCGCAGCCATCGCCGCGCGCGCAGCCCTAGCCTCTTCGGCACACTTCTCCATAAGTTCCTCCGCGTCCCTTAGTCGTGTGTTGGCACTTGTGAGATCCGCAACCTTTTCCTCATACTCGCTCCTGACCTGAGCCAGCTTTCTCTCCAAACCTTCCTTGACCATTCGCTCCTCCTCAAGTTGCCTTGCTAGGGTAGTGCTCCTCTCACTGCTCGACTCCATGGCTTTCCTCAATTCACCCATTAAACCTTGGTAGCTGCTGTTGTCTTCTAAAGCTTCTTTGAGCTTCATCGAAAGTTCGTCCTGGTCAATTCTTAAAAGTTTAGCCTCGGCAGTGGCCTCAGTGCGTGCGGCAGCTTCGTCCCGAAACGCTCGTTCAGCATCAAGTAGCTCTGCCCGAAGGCTCTCCATCTCCGATGCCGCGCGGTTCCTGAAATCATCCAATTCGGTGACACGGCTTTGCGCAACAGCTGCAGTCTCATCGGCGAGATGGCGAGCCTTCCTCTCCGCAGTTATCTCGGCAGTTAAAACTTCGACCCTGGCACTCAGTTCCGCCTGAGCTGCTAGTGAGGATGCGAGTTTCCGGCTCATATCAGCCATCTTCTCAGCATCCATGTTGGCAATGTCTACCGCGGATTTGTCGCCGGTGGGCGCAGCGCTGTTGCCACCTAAGGCTGCCAACTTTGCTTTCGCATAAACTGCCTCCTGAATAGCGACATCCCTCTGGCGTTCTATGTTCTGGATACGTTTGGCAGCCAAAGCGGCTTGGGTATCCACCGAACCCTGGACTCTGGAAAGTTCACCTTTAAGCATTAGCATAGCTTCAATGAAAGGCCTATCGTCTTCTGCTAACGATTCGTTCGCTCGTTCATCTAGGATAGCATTTCCGTTGGTCTGAGGTGTGTATCCCGCTCTTCTAGCGAGTGCAAGCTCTGAGGAATACCAGTCATTCTGGTGCTTGAGTCGTTCCATTTCTTGGCTTGGGGTAGAGTTCTTCTCTGGGACCCCCGCAGGCGGGTCACCGCCCTCCGCTGCCAGGGATAAACCTCTGGGGGCTGATGCTGTGCCGGATGGGCTACGAGGGCTCGCAACCGTTGAGCTACCGTCGGCAAGATTGTCCTGTTGAGAGCTCGGAGATTGATTGGGGACTGTTGATGGGGAGCGGTCATTGTCGGCGCTCTGTTGCTGCTGCCCCGTCGGTCCCTGCTGCCGAGATCTTGACCTCTCTTGCGGAGCTGGCGCAGGACCTGAAACAACATCAGTAGATCCCATCCGTTGCTGCGCCGTAGGAGTTCTCCTTCCACTCGCCGTGCCAGCTGGGCCATCGCGTGGCTGAGGCTGAATGGGGGAAACATTGTCCTTGAGCCTGGTGTTATTGTTGTTCACAGGTACACCCGGCGATCCAGTAGGGGTCCTACTTCGTGGGCCCGGAGGGACGCCGCCGGCCTTTGGTGGTGGAGCTTGTTGGGTCGGTGGGGGTCCTGCAGGGGCTTGCGACATAGACGCCCGTGGTAACCGAGAGTTTACGCTGCTGCCAGAAGTATTATTACTAGCAAGTGGCGTTGATCCGGTTGAGCCCGGCGATCCAGAAGCCGTTACTCCCTCCCTTGGGACTTGTTTCGCACCCCGACTCCTCGGGTCGCCCGGGCCGGGTCCTGGTCCATCTACTGATCCACTCCTTAGCCCCTGAATCCTCTTATCAGTGGGTGCATGATTCCTATCCGTAGGGCTGCCATGTTGGTGGTCGGTAGGATATCTGATTTTCGCCGTATCGAGAACATAAATGTACTGAAGCTCTTCCTGGTTCCTTGAAGGCATACTAGGCTCTCCACCAAGCACAATAATCCTTTGTCCACAAGTTGTCATGGAATGTCCTGAGCGCCGCGATGGTGATGGCCCCATGTTCTGGAAGGTGTACCATCTCCGCGAAGAAATCCTAAATGCTGCCAAATCGCCTAGGTCCTCCCCCTCTGATGTCCGGCCGCCAAAAATATACATGACGTCTCCCACAAGCGCTGCTGCATGTCCTTCTCGGGGTGAAGGAATGTAGCCAATACAGTCGAGCTGACTCCATACCTTGGATCGGGGATCGTAGGACCAAACATCATTAAACCATGTGACACCATTTGTTCCTCCAAACCTAGTTCATGGTCAGCTTGAACCAGACGCGGACGAAAGGCAGACGCATACAAGTAGAGTTTATCCGCCCAGGTGACTATCGTGTGGTTCGTTCGGCTTGCCGGCATATCAGCTCCCGCTTCCTTCGCTGGTACTAGAACTTCCCATCCCGATCCGGCGCTCTGCAATGTGTTCAAATCGAAGGCGACCAGGTCGTTGAAGAAGCGTCCGTCAACTTGACCCCCAAAGATGTACAACTTTGAACCCAGTATATTTAAGGTATGACCATATCTTCCTGCGGGCCTTGGACCATTAGGGTTCGCACGAGACCATTGGCGAGTTGCTACGACTTAATCAGCCGACGGACGCAGGTAGTAAGAATTAGGGTAATCGCATACTGGTATTTAATAGATAGAGAGTCTCATCAAGAACATCTTGCTGATCTAACTTTGTGTCGCCCCCAAATACTAAGATGGCCCAATACTAGTCAGCGAGTGCAATTTATGCGATTCCACGGCTAACGCCATGATCAAAAGAGAACGAACCGATAAACGCATTTCCTACCAACAAACTAGCGTGACCGACACGGGGCCCTGGGCCTTCGCTTGTGGTCATTACGGGGTACGCAGATAGCTGGGTTCCACCCCCTTCGACCATCCATAAATCCCCACGCACAGTCTGCGAGCGAATCAGACCTCCCATAATATAGATATCACCATCCTTCCCGGCAACACCATTTGCTGCATGACCGTAGCGCGGAAACGGTGAGGGATGCGATGATGAGAGTGTTAATCGCTGTTGCGACCATGGATATAGAGCGACGTTTGCAGGGTTTACTCCCGAAGGCGATTGCTGTTATTCCCAATAATCAGTTCACATACAATCTTTGGGATGTTGCGGAGGGTGTTGGGGGGGGGGATTACCCGTGCTTGAGACGACTGGATATTCTGCTGAGGGCCCGGCGCCTGCTTTCCTGAAGGACCTTGTTGTTGTTGCTGAGGCCTTGGAGGACCAGTCGGTGCTCCGATTGGACGTTGATCCGGACTCGATGTCGCGCCGATACCCCCGGCAAGACTATTGAGAGAGTTATTGACAGAGCTGGAGGGCGTTGGACCACCAGGACCACCTGGGGCGCCGCCGCCGGGGACACCGGCCGCAGCAGGAGGTATCGGACCGTTAGGGGTTCCTTCTCGATGACCGTGTGCACCCTTTTTCTTTCCGAATAGAAAAGCCATGATGTTTCGTTTGGGCCCAGTTGTTATCGTTGTTGTTGTTGTTGTTGTTGCTGGTGCAACTCCTGCTACCTGCCCTCGCTCCCCAAGGCTCCGTTGCCGGCTGGCTGGTCGCTGGAGACACAGGTTGCAGAGTTATCGTATCGCAGGGGAGACGTATGGAAGGGGAAGCAGGTAGGGTACGGTACGGTGAAAAAAAAAATTAGGGGGCGGATGGTGTGGTCACTTGGGACGACTCCTTGGTCTACCCAGAGCTTAATTCGTTTGCGAGAACACGGACCAGTGAACGGCAGTTGCAACAGGAAACAAACTCGACCCGATTGAAGTAGAAACGAACGAACGAACGAACGAGAAAGCACGAGCTTCTCTTCTTCTTCTCCCCTTCGTAACCGATGTGAAAGGGTACCCCAGGAGGATGTGGGTGTGCGGGTAAGCGGACGAAGCGAACGGCCCCAAGCGCAATCAATCAATCAATCAATCAGTAAGACGGTCTTCCCGGTCGCGGTATGATATGTCGTCGTGAGCGTACCGTACCGGTAGCCCGCTTGGCCCAGGGTAGGTAGGTAGTTGAGTGGAAGGGCAAGAGAAGGGAAGGAAGGGATTAAGCGTGAAAAGTAGTTCGTCTGTATCGTGAAAACAAAAAACGAGAGGAAGGGGAGAGGAAGGGGAAAGGAAAAAATAAAAATAAAAATGAAAAGCTTGAAACGCAAGGACAAGAAGGTTGAACCCCTAAGTACCGTATGGCAAACCGGTACGGTAGATTGACTTCCCCGTGCTCGGTGGTGGCAGGGAAAGTGGTATGGATATTTAGAGAAACTAAGGAATAAAAGTAGAGAAAAAAAGAAAGGAAGACCGGGGCACACGAACAAAGACGGGGGATGAGGAATAGAAGATGCTTTGGCGCAGGTACCGTACCGTACTGTACCGTACGCAAGCTAAGGAGAAGCAGGGCAAATTATATATATATATATATATATATATATATCAACGCAATGCCTCCCCTTCTACAATTCTGCTATGCAGAGCACTCGAGTACTAGTAGGCAGGCTTGGATTGCCGCACGGCGACCTCTCGAAGGGGGGAGTGAGGAGAAGTGAATTGAAGGGGAAAGGGAGGGAGGCTCGTCCTGCTGGTGGTACAAAAGGACAAGGAGAACCCCGGCACGTCCTTGTATCTAACGGGCTAAATAAAAGCGAGAAGGAAGAGGGGGAGAGAAGGGAGGAAGAGGAAACCACCCACAGAGTATGCGGTATGACACTGTAAACAAAAGGGGAAAGAAAGAATTATGATATTATGAAAGAAGAAGATAGTTACCGGTACCGGTACGTCAGGGTGAAGGGAGCCGGCTAGCTAGTCACGGTAGGGTGCCGCACCGTACGGTAATAGCCTTCTCTGCGAAGGGGAAAGGGATGGTTGGCTGGGCGGTTGGATTGGGTCGTGCCGGGCTGGGTTGGAGCTGCTTTGGAAACTTTTCTGTTTGGTTGCCCTGCCTCCTTTTTTTTTTTTTTTTTTCTCCGAACGGTGGTCGACAGGTGGGTACATGTACGGTACCGGTACTCGAGTACTCGTACGGTCACTAGCTATCAGCTCGATGCTACGATGCGGTGGGTTGTGCGGTGTACAGTACTAGTACATACCGGCACCCCGTATCATACCGGTATGATTCGGTACGTAAGAGAGAGGGGGAGAGAGCGAGCGAGGGAGATAGAGAAATGGGATGAGGGTGGATGGGTGGGATTGAGATGGAGAGGGGAGTTGGTTTGCTTTAGCTTGAAATTTCTGGGTGTAGAGTTCGTCGCCTCTAGAAATTGGATCGAATTGAAGTGGAGCACCGGTGCCATGAATCCCTTCAAGATGGCAGGTTTGCGGGATGCAAGCCGTAGCAGCTCCGACCATAATTTTGCAAATTCCTCACCTCCTCCTCTGTCAGCTTCGAGAAGAGAAAAGAGGTTTCAGAGTTATGGTTACCGTACCGTACATCTCTCCTTTCTACCGGTGTGATGGTCCAGCAACCCCTGTCCGACGCTCTCCCACAATCGTGTGTGCTTGTTTCAAATTCCATCTTCGGCGTGGCGGGGAGGCAGGAGGGGGCTTTCTGCTCGTCATGCTCAGTCCTATCTTGTTTACCCTGCCTCGCCCTCCCTTTTACACCCACCGCCGAGCCTTCCCCTGCGCCGGCACCGTGGGTAAGAGGGTGAGTGAGTTGTGAGAGTGGTGAGGAAGGGACAATGATATGATGCAGGGCGTGTGTGCTCGGGAGCTGTACCGGCAAGGGTATCGTGCCGTACGAGCACTGGTACCAGCACGGTATGTGTGAGCGTAAACCCCACCCACAGTGCCAGACTGCCAGTACCATACCTACAAGATGAGCCGATCTGTGATCTGTGGCGCAGCGTTGAAATGAAAAGAAAAAAAAAGAAAAAAAGTGACGGTCGCTGCCGCCACACTCGCCGCCGCTTGAGCCATTGTCTTCGCCGTGGTGTGGTGCTGCGGTAGTCTACAGGTATTATAGACCGTGTGAGCCCTCAGCGAGACGGCACCCTCAACGAGACGCTAAGGGTTCAAAGTCGCTTTATTGTGGCAAATGGCAGTAGTTTAGGTGGTAGGCAACGCCGCGCCTCGCTGAGGGTGCCGTCTCGCTGAGGGCTCACACGGTCTAGTCGGTGTGGAGACCTGCTGCGATATCACCAAGCACGGGGGATATCGTGCGTACCTCTGTGCTGTACGGGCGCCAATTGGCATGCGGCCATTCTAACTCGGCCCTAAAGTACGGCGCCGCACCGTACCTGTACCCCAGCTACAGCAGTCCCACTCGCAGCAGCAGCGCTGGAGAGGGATAAAGAAAGAAATAAAAAAGAGGGGAGAACTGTGGCGAATCAGAAGTTGTGGTTGGGGCTGAAGTTTCAGCGTCAGCTCTCGTATCGAAGCAAATACAGTAGCCAAAAGTGCAGCATCCAGTATACCGCATGTGCCCGTACTCCTACTGGTATAGTGCTGTATATCATGCGGCTTTCCAAGAGGTACTGTACCTAGGTATTGTACCGTACAAGTAGTACTTGCACATCATATAATACAACCCGTGGCCATGATGGATAAACGATTACCGGTACCACAGATAAATGTGTCAGTCTAGGGGTTGTGCGGGGCGGCTACATCTTTTTATTCGTGGGTCGGCCAGTCAGGTCAACGGCGATACACATGCCTCTTACAGTACGGTAAGCGCCCTTCCCACTTGCGGCACGGTGGGTTGTACTGTACTGTACGGTATCATACGCAATTGGGGAGGGTGAGGGCGAAGATTACCGTATGTACGGTATAGACAGATTCAGCAGGTGGCGAGGTAGGCTTGTGAAACTACAAGTATCACCTCTCCTCGAGCATGCTACAAGAGCCCGTAGAGTCCGAGTGCTGTGCTTGGGTACTTGTACCGTAAGGCAGCGCATAACAACCCTTCCCCTCCATATCCAAACGGGACCCCATATCCAAACGGGACCACATACCCGCCTGTGATCTGATACAAGTATGTACTCGTACTCGGGTATGGACGTGGGATACCGGACAGCCAGGGGTTCCAAAGGCATGACTGTTCTTGCCCTCATAGGAAATAAAAGAATGAGTCTGGTACCAGAATTGCTCGAACAAGCAAGAAGCTTTGACATCTCTAATCCCTGACTGTCCGGTCACCCATGTCCATGCCTGAGTACCGTTAGTAAGATTTTAACAACTCTCTACTCCATCTCCGCAAACGCCTGGGACTGCGCAGGGTATCAATTGATCAATGCGTTCGGTGCTCGACTTATGGTGGGTTATATGACGCAAATTGTGCACCCCAGCACGGTACTGCCGTTATATCAATTCGACAAGATCATTATCACCTTATCGTCATCCATATTATTCGCTGTTATTGCCGATACTCGATTAACCAACCAGCTAGAGGGTACAGAAGCGGGCAAGCTTTTCAGAAGGGAAGAGAAGAGAGAAGTAGAGGAAGTGGAAAAAAAAAAGCGTATGGCGGGCGAATGCAGAGGCGATATTCCAAATCTGTATTCTGTCGTGTCCTATTAGTTGTTGGGCGGATGTGAGTTGAGGCTCGAAGAGGGGGATGGATGGGTGGTCAAATGATCGGTTATCCCCGCTGCCAACACATCAAGGTCTACTCGTATATCACCCCCGGAGTATGAGAGAGAGGGGGGAGGGGGGGAATACAAGTGAGAAGAAGAGGAGGAGGAGGAGTAGGGTCGTTGCCTTGGGGGGATCAATAGCCCACCGGATTGAGTTATTGTAACCTTACTATGTATCATACCTGAATACCTGTACCGTATATATATAGAAGGGATTGATTCACGTGGGGAGAACGGCCCCTTCAGCCTCGGAGTCATCAGCGGACCTTATGTATGTATATACAGGTACTGGTACAGGCTGCTTAAGATGACGGCGGGGTGGTCGTCGGTGGGTTACCAATATTCTGCGATCGGATACTTTATTGAGGGATGCGAGTGCTTGGACGAGGTACGGTACTGTACTCGTACTCTTGGAGCACACGAATGTCGTGCTTCTGTCACACACGGAGTTTGTAAGAGATGTCCGGGAGTGATACTTGGTACAGGTCAAGGCTTGAAAATACTCTCTCTTAGTGTTCACTTCAGCCTCGTCATAATCAGCAGTTCCAGGCTGCAGCCCACACACCGAAACGAGATTGACGATTGAATCTGACCAAACAATTTTTTTGGTCTTCACCTTCAACCCTCCCCCTCTTCCTCACGAAAAAATTCTCACCATCTTTGAATGTTTGGAGAGATAGTAGGGCTCTCCCCGCTCACAGCCTCGACCTAGCTTTCCTTCTTCTCTCCCATCTCTGGGGGAAAATAAATAAATAAGGGGATAGAATGACGGCCGTTCACTTCACTCCGGACCCCTCTCGGCACCGCTCTCAACCACCTCTTCCCGGCCAAGGACAACCACAACCACAACCTTCCGCCTCCGCTTCACCCACTCCTGGGCCCGCTAGTGCTCATCACGTGCAGCAACGCGCTCCGCTCCCTAAGCATTCTCAACTTGCCAACAGGAACGCTGTTGGGCCACCACATTCATCACGAACAACGTCTACGCCCCCGAACGGATACATGATGGTTGACGGCGCGATCCCCAGCCACACGAATGGCACCATCCCGAATATGCACATCACAAGAGAAGACAGCATCAACAACAGCAACAACAGCAGCAATAGTACGTTTGCTCCAACAAATTCAACCAACCCATTAACCACATCACATAATACCACCAGCCTCCGTGTCAATGGGAATGCTACACGCCCGCATTCACGTAACCATTCGCAGCAAACCCACAGCCCCTCTTCATCCCACCATCAACTATATCCGGCGAATGGTCCATCCACTCCCACTACAGCCATCTCCCGCCAGGATTCTTCGTCCTCAACCTCGTCCTCGGCCAATCTGGTTGGCGAGTCTTCCTCCGCCGAGCTGCTGCGACAAACCTTGAATGTTGCTGTTGCGGCTGCTGGCACTGCTGGCACTACTTCTCCAAGCCCTAATTCGCAGCCGTCAACTAGTAGTAGAACTCATTCCCGCAGGAAGCCCCCCCCAAATATTTCCACCACTACCAAGATTTCTGGCCTTCTCACACCTGCTGGTTCCACAGATAATTCTGGCGCAGAGAGCCCCGACGACGAGGTTCATGATCACGAGGAAGGGATGAGGCATGGTTTTGCGGAGGAATACAATTCTGAGGCATATCTTGCTGTGTTAGAACAGGTTTGATTCTCTCCCTTTGTTCTTCTGGTGGCGATTGAGGGGGGCGGTGTGTGTTTCCTATTTTTCTAACGTGGTGGAAGCTAGGTTTTTTACATGTATTATACCGACAAACGTCATGAGACGGGTGGGAATCCGAAGGAAGAGACGCAAACTTTTCCGTTGCAAGAGTGGAGAATGAAGGACCGACTGAAGACTGTTTCCGCCGCACTGGTTTTGTGCCTGAACATCGGGGTGGATCCCCCAGGTATGATTCTCCCATTTTTTTTTTTTGTTGCGGCGAGCAGCCTCAATTAATCTTGGAGTAGATATCGTCAAAACGAATCCGTGTGCAAAGTTAGAATGTTGGGTGGATACCACTGCTCACCCCGCTGCCAAGGCTCTGGAGCAGATTGGGAAGAATTTACAGCAGCAATATGAGACGCTTAGCATTCGAACAAGGTATAAACAATACCTTGACCCCTCCGTCGATGATACCAAGAAGTTTTGCTGCTCGCTACGCCGTAATGCGAAGGATGAACGAATCCTTTTCCACTATAACGGCCATGGGGTACCGAAGCCGACGTCCAGCGGCGAAATCTGGGTGTTTAATAAGAATTTTACTCAGTACATTCCGATTTCGCTTTACGATCTACAGAGCTGGCTCGGCGCGCCGAGTCTGTTTGTCTATGATTGTAGTGATGCTGGAAATATAGTCGCCAATTTTAACAGATTCATCGAGAAACATGAGCAGGAGAACGCGGAGCAACGGGCCAAGGACCCGAATGCTCTGATTACTTCATCGTATAGCGATTGTATACAATTGGCTGCTTGCGGTAGTAAGGAGACCCTGCCTATGAATCCGGACTTGCCGGCGGACTTGTTCACTTGCTGCTTGACGACCCCGATTGAGATAGCGATTCGTTTTTTCGTGCTTCAGAATCCATTGCCTTCTAATCTGACAGTCGAACAGGCAATGAAGATCCCTGGGCGTCTCCAGGAGCGTAGAACACCACTTGGCGAGCTCAACTGGATCTTCACTGCTATCACTGATACCATTGCCTGGAACACCCTTCCTCGGCCCTTGTTTAAGAAACTCTTCAGGCAGGACTTGATGGTGGCAGCGTTGTTCAGAAATTTTCTGCTGAGTCAGAGGATTATGAGGGTGCATCAGTGCCATCCGATCTCCTCACCTCCTCTACCAGAAACACACCATCATCCGTTATGGCAGTCGTGGGATTTGGCGGTGGAGATGGTGCTGGCGCAGTTACCGGCCTTGAATAGAGCTGCCGACGGTGGCCCTGCATACGAGTATCACCATTCCGGATTCTTCACTGAGCAGCTCACAGCCTTCGAGGTCTATCTGTCACAGGGCGCAATTGATAGAAAGCCGCCGGATCAGCTTCCGATCGTGCTTCAAGTTTTGTTGAGTCAGGTGCATCGCCTTAGAGCGCTTATTTTGCTCAGCAAATTCCTCGATTTGGGTCCTTGGGCTGTGAATCTGGCGCTGAGCATCGGTATTTTCCCATACGTGCTTAAACTTTTGCAGTCAGCGGCCCAGGAATTGAAGCCCGTGATGGTGTTTATTTGGGCGAGGATATTGGCCGTCGATGCTTCCTGCCAGGCAGATTTGCTTAAGGATAATGGGTATAGCTATTTCATCCAGATTCTTAGTCCAGCCTCTGGAATTCCTGTTGGTAACGCAAGCGAACATCGTGCCATGTGCGCTTTTATTCTCGCCATGTTCTGTAGAGGATTTCACCAAGGCCAGGTGGTTTGCATGCCTCCGAATGTTATGGGTGCATGTCTTGCCCACCTTGGAGATGAGAATCCACTGCTGAGGCAGTGGGCGTGTCTCTGTTTGTCACAACTTTGGCACGACTTTGCTGAGGCCAAATGGCAAGGTATCAGGGAGGGTGCACACTTAAGGCTTTGCGAACTTGCTACGGATAACGTTCCGGAGGTCAGGGCGGCGGTATTGTACGCACTCACGAGTTTCTTTGGGATCCCGGAAATGAGCGAGGAGGTTGCAAAAATTGAGTGGGATGTCGCGGGGTCACTCTTGATAATGACTGCCGATGGAAGTAATATGGTTAGAAAGGAGTTGGTGATATTCCTTAGTATGTTTGTCAAGCGGAATGAGGGGAAGTTTTTGGTTGCAGCATTCGAACAGATGGTCCAAGAGAGGGACAATCTCACTGGTGTTGCGCGAGCGCAGACGACTGAAGGACTGAGACCGAGTACCCAGCCGACCGGGAGACATCATTACAGGGTATCCTCTGGACCTGGAGCGTTGGGAGCTGAGGGAGCAAACGGTTCGGCTAAAAAGAAAGATACTCTCGGCCCTGTTTCACCTAATACCATATTCTCAGCAATATGGCAAGCGTTGCTCATGTTCTCTGTCGATCCGTTCCCAGAGGTTGGCCAGGCTGCCCAGATTGTTGTTGATTATGTTCATCTCGCACTGTTGCAAAGCCCACTTGGCCAACACGCACAGGATATCATTGAGGAGATTTCCCGCGCCAACCTGCGTAACTTTAGCCTTACTTTGCCCACCAATTCTGTGCCTGAGAGCAAACGTCCCGTGTCACCGGGACCGGCCAAAGCTGAGGGGTACTTTACCACCTCCTTGCGAAGATCGGCGAGTATCGCTGCTAGTTTGAAGCAGATGGCTTTGGGATATGCTAGTGGAGAGGCAACCCCTACTAATTCTGCGCCCGCAACTCCGAAGACATTGAAGGGAGGCTGGTTAACGAATGGCAGTGCGGAGAGAAGCCCTGAGTGGAATAGACCTCCCGATGCAAACGATCCACAGAGCTCGTCCACAAGCTATCACACTGCGAAAGAACCAATCACTCGTAATTTTCATGCTAAAGGGGTTGACAAGATTCCTAGTATCCCCCTTAAAAGCCAGTTTATGGAATGGTCTATTGAGGTGTGTTATCCGTGGTTGTGCATTTTGAGCTCGTCTAACCTTTAGCAGTACTTCCGCGAGCCTCAAATGAAACCGAATGAGGCAGATGAGCCGGGCAGTGTTGATTATAACCAGCGCTTGTGGCGTAGAACGCGAAATGACAGGATTATCATTGACACACAGACTCAGAAGGAGCGGGCGAGCACCTCAAGATGGGATCATAACAAGGGTGTTTTCAACAACGGAAGTCTTCCTATAAGGCTGCTATTCCATCAGTTCGAGAGCCACCTCATAGCCGTGGACGAAAAAGATGGTGTATCGGTATGGGACTGGGAAAAGGGTGTAAAAACTAATCATTTTTCAAACGGCAATCCAACGGGCACAAAGATTACCGAGATTAAGTTTCTTAATGAGGACGATGTTGCGCTATTGATGACTGGTGGCGGAGAGGGTGTCGTCCGTATCTACCGTAATTATGAGAATGACGGTGAGGTTGAGCTGGTCTCTAGCTGGAGAGCTCTCACCGACCTGCTGCCTTCTAGGAGAAGTTCTGGATTGGTTGCTGAATGGCAGCAGGGAAGGGGGACAATGCTCGTCGGAGGAGATGTAAGGGTTATCAGAGTCTGGGATGCGCCAAGGGAGATGTGCATGAGCGTGAGCACCCTGCTCTTTACTTTACCGGGAATGTGCTGACCACAGACATAGGACATCCCCGCACGCTCCGGGTCCTGTATAACTAGCTTGACGTCTGAACAAGTTGCTGGCAACATTTTCGTAGCTGGATTCGGCGACGGAGCAGTCAGGATATATGACCGCCGTCTGGCGCCTAGAGACTCGATGGTGAAGGTTTGGAAGGAACATAAAGCTTGGATTGTAAAAGTGCACATGCAACGGGGTGGCATGCGTGAGTTGGTATCTGGGAGTGCAACGGGCGAAGTGAAACTTTGGGATATCCGCATGGATAATCCGGTCAGGGGGTTCCTTGCGCATACCAAGGGCATGAGAAGCTTGGGCGTTCATGAGCATGCTCCTATTATCGCCACGTATAATAGCCCCGCAAATACCCCGCCCCCTTTCCATCATTTTTTTTTTGTTCTTATGACCCCTAATAATTCGTGCGTAGTGGCTCAACCTGGCACGATGTGAAACTCTGGAACACCTCTACCCCCAAGGACCTCCCGCTCTCAACAATAAAGCCCTATAGCAGCTTTCTACACCAGAATCGCAGCAATCCCGTCACTGGACTCGCTTTCCACCCCCACCGGATGATGGTAGCCTGCTCCGGCGCTGGAGACAACCATATCAGTCTTTACAATTGCGATTCCAAAGGCGGAATATAGGATCGTGGTCTATAAAGCTTGATTATTTTTCATTTCACCGGTTTTGTCATAATCATAATAGCGTTTAACGCGGGCATCGACTGATTGAGATTTTATCCGTTGGTTGGTCGATCGATTGGAGCGGTGCTTTGCGGGGCAAAGGGGAAGG